CACTGTTAGGCTAGAGGCAAATTCAATCCTCCCACGCCACTGTTCCTTTGTTCTTTCAAGGTGCTTGATGTCTCGGCGTTCAAGTGAAATAATACCGGTTTGGTAAGTCAATGTACAGATATGTAACAACACCGCGAACCGAATCAGTCGACGAACCACTGCGCGCGCATTTTGACAAACAACATTGCAACGAACATCACCACAAACCGAACGACGTCGTGCAACCACATCGCGCAACAAAATGACGATCCATTTTTGATGTTTGTCGTTTAGTGAAAGACGAAGACTAGCGGAAATGGATATAGCAGTAGCAGCAGCTGCCTATATTTATATTCACTAAGAATTATCCAAAAACAAGCGACAACGACGTTCGAGACGATGGTTGCAAACGCAGTTGCGACAATTTGATATCGGAATTGAAATTTCAAGTGGACAGAACAAAAATTTTACGAGGATGTCTCCGGCGGACTTTGAATATTTTCTCACATTGATTGGACCAAAAATACGAAGAAAAGATACAAAGTTGAGAGCTGCCATCACAGTACTGGTATGCCTGTCCAAACATGTGCAACTTCATCGCGAACCATTCCTTTAATGTTGCGCTGAAAAACCGACGGAGTCTCGATCGGGCCGAACGGCGAGCTGTAACACTAATCCGGTTCGCGACTACGTTCTTTTCACCGTCTACACTAGCGCGGCGCGGTTCTTCGCGTGGTTCGGTTCGCGGTGTTGTTACATATCTGTACATGGCTTACGGTATCTGTAATCGCTATCTAGTTGCACCACGCCGCCTTTTGGGCCCTAACCACGGTACCTGTATATGGTGTATGGTGGGATTCGAATCTCGCCAGCGCTCATTTTTCCTTCCTGTGAAGTTATTGTTTACTAAGTATACTCGGTGTTGCGGATGAGATCATCCGAAAAATCTATACATCATCGATATTCTTTACGAATTTCCAGGCTATACCCCTTTTAAGCGCCAAAGGGTTGGACTAAGAAATTACCAAGTTGATGAGATCAGGGGTGCTGGCGGTCCAAAGCATGACTTAAAGTGAGAAAAGTAAGATTTTCAAAAAAACTAGTGAGAAATGAGTTTATACATAAAAAAATCAGTTAATTATCAGAGGAATTGAAATCATAATGCCCAATTTGAACGAACAATATAAATTAGAAGTTGTGCAAAAAACGAGAATGATGTATTTGTTACTGATTTATTGACGCAAGCGAAAAAAATATTTTTATGTATGCGTATATTACAATCAAATGCATATGCTGCATAAAAGAAACATAAAAGGCATAACAAATTCTTCTAAATACGGGAGGCGTACTTATATCTATTACGTATTCTTACCCAATTGATTGACCCACATTTTAGCGAACTAATGATAAAAAGTTGAAATTTGATATAGATATAGAAGATGAGTTTAAAGCAGTCGGATGGCTAAAATTTTACTTTATGCATATCCACAGGTAATTGAATGTTTCCTTTCTCTGATAAGTGTTATATTCTAAGTTTTTTTTTTCTCTCTATAGTTTGTGTCAATGTTTTCCAGGTCGGGTTGAAAAACAGCATAAGCTGACACTCCACCTTTTCGTCACTGTTCCTTTTAAACCAATTATTTAAACCAATTATTTTGTAATCGTGTGACGAATAAAGGCCATTTATTATTATTATTATTATTATATAGTTATTATACAGGGTGGCGCAGAGGAAACGCATGTTTTCTGACCGAATGGTATTTCGCACAGAATAGGGATATGACCTCGCCGCACCGCCAGCAGAGAACACATGCGATGCAGTTTCAGCCATGGCACCGTGGATGACGGAGCATCGTGTGTTTGCCGTCGAGCAATTTTTTCGAAACGATGATTCTGTAGTGATCGTGCAACGTTTATTCCGTCGACAGTTCAATGTTGAACGCCACGGGCCAATTACAGATCGAAACACAATACTCCGATGGGTTGAAGCATTTCGAAGTACTGGATCCGTAATGAAGAGGAAGCTACCTGGCCTTCCCCGTACCGTGCGGACTCCAGGCAATATTGAAACAGTGAGAAGAGCGGTCCTTGATAGTCCCCAACGGTCCACTAGGCGCCAAGCTCCAACTCTGCGTATGTCCCGTCGGTCGTTACAACGCATTCTGCATGACGATTTACAATATCATCCGTACAAGATAATGATCGTGCAAGAGCTAACGGAAAGCGATTTTGCACAGCGTAGAGAATTTTGTGCGAGAATGCGGGCCATTTTTGCTGACGATTCTGACGTCGTCATAATGATGAGTGACGAAGCACACTTCCATTTAACAGGATATGTAAACAAGCAGAACTGTAGGTATTGGGCGGCCGAAAGTCCACGAGAGCTACACCAACGACCCTTGCATAGTCAAAAATTAACTGTGTGGTGCGGAATCAGTAAATTAGGTATCGTTGGTCCTTACTTTGTTGAAGAGGAAGAAAGAGCAGTAACAGTTACTTCAGCACGTTATGTTCACATGTTACAAAATTTTCTGTTACCCGAACTTCAACGGCAACAAGTAAACATGGGAGAGCTGTGGTTCCAACAAGACGGTGCCACAGCTCACACAGCGAGAGCATCAATGGAATGGATTCGACAGATGTTTCCTGAACATGTGATTTCCCGTTTCGGCGATGTCCCTTGGCCCCCACGCTCCCCAGATTTGTCCGCATGCGACTTCTTTTTGTGGGGTTACCTTAAGGATAAAGTGTACCCTCACAAGCCTCGTACGTTACAGGAACTGAAAATTGCTATTCGTCAAGAAATTGCAAGAATACCACAAGAAATGATTTTACGTGTAATGCACAACTTTCAAGAGCGGTTGGAGATGTGCGAGCGCGAAGCAGGGCGACACTTGAGTGACGTTATTTACCATCATTAGTTTAAAAGTGCACTATCATTACTTTATTTAGCTGTAACTGAAACAAAGTTATCTTGAAAATAAAAAATGTTATGCTTAGGTGAAAATCGTGCGTTTCCTCTGCGCCACCCGTAGATGAGTATTTTTTACACAATGGCTCCATCATCAGATCATCTCCATGTCATAATGATATTTCATCGTCAATTATCACACTAAACGTCCTCCACTTTGATTTTTTTCTTTCATCAATCCCTTTCATTTGTTATCCCTAATATGCGAGTGACTATGGAAATTATAAATCGATATTTTGCGGCGGCCGCCGTATTAGATCGAGAATGACATCGCGATGCTTACTGTGTCTCTTTCAAGCCCTTTCAGTCGATAACCATACCATAGGGGGAAACTAATAGAAATTATGAACTCCATCTTGCGCCAGTCGACATGTTTGATTTGAAATGACACACATTGCTTAGCGTGACTCTAATTATAATGGTGACTATGGAAATTATAAATCGCCAAATTCCGGCCTCCGTCCAATTGGATTTAGAATGACGTCCTTTTGCTTATTTGCTTATTGTGTTTCTCTCATCAAGCTCTTTCATTTGATACCCATATCATATATGATGGAAATCCATTATGTATTATCACACGAACCAAACAGGCATACAAAACTTCAGCTCTAACGGTTAAAGTTAATTGGTTCAAAAGTTGGTTTCAAGATTTGTCCCACACATGCATACCAATGAACTAACACACTAACAGTTACTTGCACAAATCAATTTATATTGAAATGCTTGCTCAAATTAAACCAGGAGAAAATGAGAACGCTCAAGGGTAAATTCGTATTTTCTGTCTCTCTCTCCCCTCCCCCTCTCTCTCACTCTCTCCCCCTCTCCCCCGACTCTCTCACTCTCCCCCGAAAACACTATGAATTACCAAACTATCTAAGTAACATTTTATCAGTTTATTAGGAGTAAGCTGGAGCACGCATCTGTCATCTGGTCTCCTACCTATCAAAAGCGAACATTGAGTGCGTGCAGCGTAAGGCACTTAAATATTTTTAAGTGTCACGATCACTACCCTGAAGGAGGTTTTGACCATTCGGCGCTGTTAAGAATCTTTCAAGTTGATCCGTTACAGCTAACGCGTGATTCGTCGGCGCAAAGATTATTACATAAAGTACTAAACAATCAAACTGATTGCCTCTTAATATTAAGCAAAATTATTTTTTGCGTCCCTAGGTTCGGCAGCCGGTGGCAGATTTTGTTTTACCCTGATATTTGTAATACAAACATCAGATATGAAAAACACAGTTATACTATAATGTGTTAATGTTTCAATGCGATTTGTTCCTCTTGTGATATTTTTTGTGATCGAGAAAAATCTATATTGGATTATTACCGAGACTGGTACTTTGGTGTGATATAGAATCGATATGTTAATAGCTATTTCCACATTTCAAATGTATACATTTATTTGTGTTTTTTATTTATTTTTTTATGTCCCGCTGTTATTAAATTATTGACTACTTTCGTTGCTGGTATATTTTCTGTAATTGGGTGTAAACTATTGGGAATTATAAATAAATAAATAAATAAATCAGTTACCTAAATGCGCACCTTTCCCTCCATAAACATCTTTGTATTATTTTGCTTGCTGTTTCCGAATTTAAAATACATAGTGGCTGTTAGCAAAGTAGAGCTAAAATTCAACGTAGATTTCAACTAATTCTAGTAATGTCTCATGTAACACATACTGGCTCAGCTTGGGGAGAACCCTGTACATCAACAACTTTGTCATATTTACTTTTATAAAAAAAATCTCTTCATTTAATTTCGTGGCGCTTGGGAGCTTCTTCGAATACTTAAACTACAATATGTACAGCGAGAGCAAAAATAGTGAGACAAGTGAATATTTTCGATAAAAAGTCAGTAAAAGTGAGATCAATCAAAAAGTGAAAAAAGTGTGTCGCCAGCATCCCTGTCATTATCTTCATTCCTTTCTTTACTCTCCTTAGCCTAGTTGCACTGGAAAGTGTTTTGATGAAGACCCTAATATGTAGATTAGCAAGCCAATGCCTTAGTCGACAGCTAAACTGACAAAAACTAAAATGCTGCTTACCTGTTGATCCAAACATATTGGGTTACCTATGCAATAACTTGCATTGACGTTGGTTGGCTTCTGTGCTGTTTCTCCATACGTCTATCAATCCGTAAAAGGTACTTTATTACAAATTCACATTAATATATCTCTATCATATGATATACTTACAGAAATGTCTGATAAAGTTTCCTCCTTGATACTTTCATCGGCATCTTCTGGTTTTAAGCTATAAAAAAGATTACAATATAATGCATTTAGCCAAATATCACAAATTATAAGCAGAAGTCAGTTTTTCAAACCCTCACATATTCACTTTGAAATGTAATACAAGACTGTAAATTAAGTAATGAGGTTGTTTTTTCAATTTGTTTACTCAAATCAGTACTGGCTGGAACTCCGATACTGGAATAGCATTCAGCTGGACCGTTACAGCAGTTTAATTGTTTTAGTCTATCCCAAAAGAAGTTCTCTTGAGATGATTTTTCACCTTCGGGAAGAGAAAAAAGTCACAAGGACTCAAGTCAGGTGAATAAGGCGGTTTTATCTGATGAATGGTGGTGTGAGTTAAATTTAACTCTTCCTGATCATTCTGTCTGTCAACCGACAATCTGAACGCATAAGGTCCCGAATTCTGTCCATGTTTTCATCGGTTCTTGCCTTGCGCTTCGTAGTTCATCTTCAATCAACTCTCTTCCTTCTGAAAATGCATTAAACCATCGAAAAACCTGTGCTCTTTGACAAAACACTACCTCCGTAGGACTGCTGAAGTTTAGTTAAGAGTTTTCCTTGCATTGTAAGTCTGAAGCAAAAACTGATAGCACACTGATGCTCATTTTTAGAACTCAAAAAAAAATCGCTACGGACAACCAAATGACTCGAGCGAGTTCAAACTTGTACGGAAGGCGGATCACAGGTTCTCTGACTCCCCTCCAAGCCCGGCGCCTCCAGTGTTGCCAGATCGAACACTGCGTTGCCAGTCTCATCACTTAATTTACAGTCATCGTATTCGAAAAACGATTGGTTTATCAAATTTTGAGCCAAATATATCAAGTTTCTCATTAAGGGCTATGTAAATGTTACTGAGATTATACCAGGAACAAAGCTAGCAATTTGTTCAAAGTATTGCAAAAATATGTGCCAAGATAATGAACTGTCATCAAATGCAGGTGCTACTTTGAAGGGGGATTCTCTATGAAGCAATTGTACCTTAATAAATTATTGGCGTAACCTGCTAATACTTACTGTAACAAGAATCTGCTAAAACTGAACTCCAAATATTCTCCGCATATTTTCTTTCTAGATAGCTTAAGGAGAGCTTGGTATGCCTCAAATTGGCTGATAAACAGAAGGTATCCTAAACCTTGTTGCAAAAACATATTCAGCATTCCCTCTACTCGTATATATCTAATCAAACTCTCGTACAATTCAAGTTTTGTCACGCTTTTTGGTAGAGTTCGAAAGTAAAGACGGCAGCTCTGGAATAAAAAAAAAAACTAGTGGAGCGTCAGTCCGTGGCGTGATAGCTCCCCGATGGATAAAGCAATTTGAGTGCTTTTTTTTAATCGACAGTCTTGTCTATCCTGACGGTCTTAGCTATGTTTCATGAAAATTGGTTCATCTGTTAAGACAAGGGAGTAAACGTGGGGGTGAGCAGCCCAGACCAAATCAATACGCCTGAATGAAGTATCAGATGAAATGTTGAATGTTGAAACTTGTCAATTACTAACTCGATCTTCAATGAAAGTCAGCCAAGTCGATCAAAAGTTTTAACCGTTATTTGAGTATTGAAATCGCGAAAATTTTCGGAAATGAGATGCTTTTGGATGTTACATGACATGTCACTTACTTCTGTGGGTCTACTCTCGGTGTGCGCGCTAATCTAAAGTGTGACTACTATGCCAAGGACGCAAAAGCTTTTTTGGAATTCGTCCAGTGGTAGCGCAGCTAGGGACAAAAAATCGAAGAAAATAAAAACTTTTCAAACTTCGTTTCTTCATGTTTCAGAGGCTCCTGATCATCAACAGTACACTTCAAACCCCATTAATTTGTAGTCACGACACGCAGTCGCGGTCGGCCGTGGCTTGATCTTCATACGCTGTGTGCGTATCTGCGTTTGATTGACTCTGACTGCATCTCCGGTTCTCTCGAGTTACTATAATAGTGTGTTTTAGCACCATTGTCATATTAATGATACTTAGAGCAGGGAAGAAACTAGTATTAGCATTATCAAATCAGTAAGGCTATGGAGTATGGGCTAATTGCATGGGTCTGTTTGGCTTTTTTTATTAAACATGTTTGTAGCTAGTTCACAGTGACTAACTTGTACCGAACATAATTGTTTATGAACTGGTGACAACGTTACGGGAAAAGTGCAGAGTCAACATACTTGACGTCATTTTTTGTATGATTACTTTACTAATAAAATGTGTCAACACGAGATCCACACACAAGGTATATGGTTAAGCCAGATTAGCTTTCCGCCACTAATTTCTTCGCATACTCACGCCTTTACCGGTTCAAGTACAGAATACTTGCATTTACTTACTAATATGCAAAGAGAATTTGGGCTTTACGTAGACAAGTAAAAGGTTTTCTACAAAGAGTTAATATCTGTACCGTTCGTCGCCTGTGCAAAGATCTTCCAAAACTATTGCACTATTTCACATTTCGACCTCACATTTTATTCGTACGAATTTTGTGGCTGCCTACTGACGCAGATAGACCACCCTTTAAGAAACATTTTTCAATCTAAATATATTCATATTGTAATTTTATCTTACCGTTTTAAGTTCTTCAGGTGTTGCCCAATCGATTTCCATAATATTCGATTCATAGATCCTGAATTTTGGATACAGTTTCTTTCTCGCCTCCAAAGCATTTTTATGTGTATCATATTGTAACAGGCATTTTTTGACCTTTGCGTCTGCAGAAAATTTGCAGATCCTTAGTTCCTTCAGGCCTGTGCCAATGAGCAAATTGAAATGCTGTTTCAGCTGGTCAAGCCTGTTGAAAAGAAAATATTTACGAACAAACTTATTTGATCAAGATAATATACATAGCACATAAAGAGTAATGGGCGTCTTGGTACCCACACTAGTTGTAATGAGCCAAAGTGACAGTTTTCGAATGGATATGCACTACTACTATGGCAGAGTTTTATCTATGATCAGCTAAAATCAAAATTTAGAGCAGTAGAATCACAAATAAGAATTGAACGTATTTTTGTGTCACTGGTAGTTTCGCCATCGCCTAGCAACGAATAAATCCTGACAAATTCAGAGGCATCTTCATTGTGTTCAAGATCGATTAATTTATACATAGAGGATGTTAAACACGCACGCACATTGAGGAGAAGGGCGACGACATTTTTTGTCCTTTGCATGCGTCAAACGTGACAGGTCGCTGTCCTTTCTGTTGCGGAAGTGTGCAGACTGACATTTGATTATGCGTAACGGAAAACAATGGAAGAATTTCGCTACCCTTCTCTTCCCCTCGATAAGTGTGCAAACAATTTGAGGTGAATATATTTTTCAATAACACTGAGAATGGAGCTTTTATCGAAAAAAGTATGCCCAGTGCCGATTACTGATATTGACGGACACAATAAAGCGCATTTTGAATATTAAGTTATAGTTGGGTATCAAAATGGAAGAAAGTATCATAACACATTGTACACCACTGCTAACGTGCGTCATTGACTACGGCAGGATCCGCGTGCACCAACTTTTTCTATACAAAGGCACACCGCGCTACCAATGGCGTACGATTATGTTTATATATTCTTCCGTTTTGATACCCGGATATAATAAACGGGTCATTATTTGAAAAACAGGATGTTTGTGTCCTCAGTGATTTTTTTCCTTTGCTTTGGTAAAACTAAGAACAAAATACCAAAAATATTCAGTACTCTACTAGTTCTTACTGAAGCATACCAAAAGTACTAATTTTTCATTTATTTCCTAATTTTATTTGCCTCGCAAAATGTCATTTCTCACGTTCGTAACGTGTCCCCAAACAAAAGTTATGAGATATAGACTAATTATTCTTAAACTTAGTATATCTTGCAAATAATACATTTTCATTTTATATTCAAATTGCATTTCGTAAAATTATGTGAATTATAAAATTTCCTCGGATTTTCATGTCACCTCCGTAACTGGGGCCGTTATTTCAAACTACAGCCATAAAAGAGTGGGGATGAGGAAGTAGTTGTCTTGCGCGTATCAAAATAATTACACGTGGTCAAATGCCGATTTTTGTATGAGGTAAGTTCAATTTTCTCACTATTGTAACGCAAATTTTAGGTTTTTCTAAAAACATAAAAAAATATCTCTTGGTTTTGAATGCCGTTCTGAACAGATATCTTAAAATTTGTATTATCGAAAGTAAAATAATTAAAATTAGATGAGATTTTCATTTGTTTCATCACTTTTAGAGAAGCATGGCCAAGCAGAAAAAAGCACTAATGACAAGAGAGAGCAAGAACAGATAGAAAAGGTGAAACAATTAGTAAGAAAGTATAGGGAAGCACTAAAAAGTAATCTAGAAAGGTATAAAGAGGCTGAAAGGCAATAGAGAGAAAGATACCAAAGAAGGAAGGAACTGAGCAAAATAAAATCCATCAATGACCTGACCCCTCGGCAGCAGAGAAAATTACGAAAAGACTAGAGAGCTAGAAGTAAAAAAAGTTACGACAAGAAACGTAAGGCACAGAAATCCGTGCAGGGAAATGTGAAGGGTTTGGGAACAATCCGGCCGCACTCGATGCGTGAGAATTCTGTGCAAACCCCTACGCACAAAAATATTTCGGAGACGCCAACATCAGCAATATCGACAGCAGGTAAACGAAGATCAAGAAGAAATAGAAGAAAGTTGAGATTAGAGATTCAAAAACTAAAGAAATAACTTAAAAGAGAAAAAGATAAGAAACAAAAATACAAGGAGAGGCTTTATAGAAATCGGAACCCAAAACTGTAATGTTCAGAGAATGATTGATGGCCAAATAATTTCAAATGAGATTAAAAAACCTTACTTCTTGGGGCAGTTTTATCTACCCAAATAAAAGAAAATGTAATGTCCAAAAATAATAGAGAAGAATGAAGGAAACTGATGGCGGCTGTTTCAGGAAGAGTGACAAAAAAATACCGTTTTCAAGAAAGACTGAAGATGTTAGTACCTAAGCGTTTCATATATCCTAAGAAAAACAGAATTTTCGATCGTATATGGATAGAGGTTCGAAGAAAAATCATACGTCTTTATGAAAATGATGACTCAAACCGAATGTGCCCAGGAAAAAAAGAAACGATAACATTCAAAAAAGTAAAAAAAAACAGAAGAGGTATTTGAACTACTCTCTGAAAGATCTATATGCCAAATTTAGCTGTACTTATCCAAACAAAAAGGTAAGCTACAGCTTCTTCCGTAAGATGCAACCTTTTTGGATGGTTCCATTGAAGGTTAAAAGTTGTGACACATGTTTGTGTGAAACTCACGTCAATTTCCAGTATGTGGTTTCGAAATTAAAATTTTACATTATTAAAGAAAATAGCTGCAACGAATTTATCAAAAAGATAACGTGCTCCGCCGAAGACAAAATCAAGGAAGCATGCTTTAAAAGATGTCCTGAATGTTTACGGCAAAACGTTGAATTTTTAGAATATATTCCTACTGATCATGTAAAATATGAGAAGTGGGTACCAAAAAAGTAGAAACTGTTGGTGAAAGGCCAGGAAAAAGTTTGCGTTAAAAAAATTAAGCTAAATATTTACTGCAGCAAAGCAGAATTGGTATTAGAATTTCAGAAAAGCCTACCAACTATGCTTACTCACAATTTTAACATGCTCCATCAATACGAAAAGATTCGACAAATTAAAAAAGCTCTCTCAGACCATGTTTTGATCCACGTGGACTTCTCAGAGAATTATGTGTAGTATTCTACTGAAGTTCAGTCTGCTCATTTCGGAGGTTCAAAACCACAGATCACCTTGCACACAGTTGTAACCTATCAGCAAACCGAGCACCAAACAGATGAAGCTGAACTACTTGTAACTCCATACTGTACACTTTCCAAATCGTTAAGGCATGGCCCATCGGCCATATGCGCCCATTTCCTTCCTTTCATACATGGTATTTTAAAAGGAAAGTGCCCAATCTTAAAGTCCACTGTTTGAGTGATGGGCCAAGCACCCAATATAAAAACAAGAAAATGTTTTTCGTTTTGAGGGTGCTTGGCAATTACTGGGTGCTAATTCTCTTAGATGGCATTATTTTGAGAGAACTGCTAATAGTATTGTGGCCAGAGGAGAAGGTATTCCTAATTACGAGACCCTACTAGATAAGCTACAAACGTTGGATGGTGTTATCGTTTTGCCTATAGATGATAAAGACATATCAAAGTTTGATTTAAAGCTGCCGGACTCACTTGAAGATCCACGAGGCTCTTTGGAGCAATAATTCGTTTTAGACAATTAACTTGGAATGACTGTTCTGCAGAAGAGGTAACCAGAGCAAGACGTTGAAGACTCGAATAGCTCTTGTGACGGAATTTTGGCGGACACATTAAATGACATTTCCAACCAAACAAGTATCCTTTTCACAACTTTCTGTAATCTAAAAAATTGGTTATATTTATTTTTGGGTTTTTTTGAGAATATCAGTGGTTTTTTAATAGCTCGAGAGAAGAATCGTTCAGTACAGAGGATAAGCTGCCTCCTTCAACATTATTTGTTAAACGTCCCGTGAATCTGAATGTATTGGTTAAGATGCCAGGGAAAAAATCAGTATCATTATATTGCAGTAATCTTATCGATAGGAAATGAAAACGACTATACAGTCAAAAACTTCCGGAAATCGTCCAAGGGAAATTTTTTCATTTTTACAAACGTCGATGACATTGGACTGATTTCAAATAGTGATATTGTGTCTGTTTTAGAAAAACCTCAGATTAAAAGGGGCCAACCCTTTTTGAATATAAGTCCCAAAGTGGTGAACTTACGTTGACGTATGCAGCTTTTTTGTCTTTTCAGTTTATGCGTTTCGCTAATAAAAATAAATTTGTTGTGAGGCTAATTACCTTTTTTTTAATTTTTACTATCTAAAAGTAACTACTCCTTGACCCAAACACACTGTTTAATTGAAATCTATATTTAAAACTAAATCGTCTGCCTTCTGAAAGTACTGTTTTAGGAAAAACTACTACATGTCTATTATTTTCCGATTAGCTCTTTTCAGTCTACTGACAACACATGCTTTGATGGACATTTCTCATCTCTGTAACACAACTGCTCACCTCGTACATAGAGTTTCTGGAAGCGGTCCTTTTTCAGAAAAAATAGTAATAATAATTCATGACCACTACATTAATAACTTTCCTAGAACACATATCAGTTCAAAATAAAAAAATAGTAAAAATTGGTGTAAGTTTTTTTGGAGCATTTTTTGGTATACATATAATCCCCTTCTTGAAATAATGACCCATACCACAATACTTACCGAAGCTCTCTAGGAATATTGCGTACTTCCAGACAATTATTATCATAAGAGACTTTTACCACTACTTGTTGGCCATTGAGTAATGTTCCATTCAGTATCAAACTAGCTTTTCTGGCATCTCTCACAGAGAAATATGTTACAAAGCAAAAGCTGAAAATATACTTAATTACTATAACATAATTAAGTTCAGTGCAAGTTAAGCACTCTGGTAGTAATTTTGTGAAAGAATTTCATCGAAATCCGAGCGGTACTTTCCAAATTATGGAGGAACCTAAAATTACCGGGCAGACCGACAGTCAGACATACTGACGGAAATGAAATGACATGGTTTTCCGCGATGTACGGGTGTCGGGCTTTAACTTCGCTCGATCTGAAACATGACACACTAAGTCAAGTCGGGGAATTTTAGTTTTGCCGCTAGTAGAATTAATGTTTTCCTTTGCGAAAGGATATAGCCCATTTCGTTTCTTGAGGCAGATAGGAGAATTTGCTAACTTTGAATTATATAAATATGTATGCACATAAATACTTAAAAGCTGGGGGCTTAAATTTGGATTCTGCATAATTTTACTTCCCGCGCCTACTGGCTACTGCAGGAATTTCTCTCCGGGGGAGGAGGAAGGTCATTCAATTTTTTGTTATACATATTTCACGAGTATCCATCACGTTAGAATGACAGTTGATTATCTAGTAATATCTCAAAATTCCCTTTATCGGCACAGGACACATAAGCCTGACGGATCCGTCAACGCCAGGTAGTCAGAGCCTTATTTTGTTTTGGTTTTTTGTATGCTACGGATACATTTTATACTTGCCAACAGCTCTTTTATTTAGAAGAGTTCATTTACATACATAAAACAAAACGACACAAACCAGTTTTACTAGATTTATACCGGATTCTTTATTGCCAACATTGCAGAGTAACACAAAAATGTCACTTGCTGATCAGCTGTTCAGCTCAGTTGACGTCAAAGTGTGATGGATACTCGTGAATTGATGTTTTGAACACAGTGAGAAATAGGTATGTAGCTATTAATCAAATTCAAGCGGACAACCAAATGGAAATGGTATTTACCATTTTGGGTTGGTATTTATCAATCTGTTCAAGCGAGTGTAGTTATCAGTTTGGTTATAAGATCCGTGACGTCACGAATCAGCTGTTATATGTCATAGTTATCACCGCAAAATTGTGGTATTCACCCAACTCAAAAGAGTAGTTTTATATTTCTGGTTATTATTTGAAATGTGACAAGTTAGAATTTTGCCGGGTATTGGATATTGTTATTGTACTTCAGCTTCATTTTTGAGAAAATTGATACAGGCTGACTTCAGTTTTACCATAAAGTGGAGCACCTTATTAATTATACTCATTACGGTTGTTGGGGACACTTTAAATGTAGTTCCTATGCTTAACAAAGTATCCTGTGTAGCCATATACCACAAGAATATTAAAATATGGCCATATAAACTCACTAGATGATATCCACCTGTATACGGTTTTGCTGATTTCTTTTTTCATCATTTCTGCTGAATCAATAAATGTTTTCTTTGACATGCTGAAAAAATTAGAGAATTGAAAGTTGTCATAGCTACAAAGCCATGGTTCCATCATTAAAAAAAAAAATCTAAAAAAAACATTTCTCTCATCAATATTATGAAACGTTTCTTATTTAAACTTTCGATACACAGTTTTAGACGAAAAAGCACCGATTATTAAGTGATAATAAAAATAATCAGAGATTATATACGCGCTTTTCTAAAATAAACAACTTGCAACAAAACCGCGGTTAAAAACAAAGCGTTCAAGCGATTCGTGTAACTGACGTCATCAACTCGTGTGTCATCTTGAACCATATTATAACCGCGGCATATAACACAGAAATTTTGGTTATTCGCTTGGATTTGATTATTGTTAGTAACCCCTAGCGTCAGGTTTAACCTACATTCGACGAGGGATGATTCATCTACATGTTATGCTTTCATTTTTTTTATAAAATAGAAAATCACCCAAAATGAGAATATATTAGTGGCAGTTGTGCCGTTGTGGAATTGATTGCCCAAATCTGCACAGTCGAAGCGCCGAGGCGGCGAAATTTTTGATTAGAACATGTTTGTAAATTCGCGATATAGTGCAAGATTATTTGCTATTAATCATGTTTATCTTTGCAACGTGTAACGCTGAATATGCACCGAGCATTTGAAGAATCATAAAAGTTCAGAGTCTGCCATAAGCCACACAATTAATGAAAAAGTGTATTCTCAAAAGATCTAATTTCACTGCATCAAACTACCGTTAATTCTCCACCCAGATTTTATCAAAAATTAACTTCCTACCTGCGTAAGTATCCGCTGAATTCCGTAAACAACCGGATCTGGAAGAGCTGCCCAGCTTGCAAAGCAAATTCGAGTATATCTTGCAGTAACGTATCCTCTTTGACATGTTTGATAAACACTTCGCAGCCCCTTTTTGGGGTGGAAGCGTGCTTGAAGGTCGCTAAGATCTGACCGTATGATTGATACACGGTATATAAACTAGACAAATTCGTTGTTTTTGTAGCCATTTTATGTCTAGTCAAATCTGCAAGGGCCTCCCTTTCATCCATAATTGAAATTTCATCCATTCCACTAAATTCTCGGAATCACATCACCTTTAAATATGACCTTTCACCTGGCGACGTGGCCTCCGTCACTCACTGCAGCTTGCAACTAGCAATGTGAATGGATAAAGCCCGGTCTAGACTGAACATTTTACCTTACGTCTTGCCAGTTCAGTCAACATGCACCAAGTAAAAGATTGTGGGTAGACTGAAAAACTAACGTTTTACTTGAACTGATTTAAGGCGGAAGTCCGTGTAAACAACTGACCGGATCACCCATTTTTTCCAGTAAAGCGATCGTTTTGCCGTACAATCCTGCACGTGTAGACACTCGTCCGTTTTGAACTGTTGATTTAGCTGATTTTGTATTGGCAAACATGGCTGGTGCCTACGTATTTAAAAATATGTCGGACTCACGACAATGGTCCCGTGATGTTTTCACAGAATCTATTGAACTGTATGAAAAGTTAAAACAAGCTATTATAGTGGCAGATAGAATAAAACTCAAGCGTATGCTGTTGTGGTTAAGAAATGCCAGGAGGTGGAGCGTGCTGCGACTAAGGATGCTGTACAAAAAAAATCATTCTTTCCGATCGGTTTGTCGGAAAGAGTTACAAAGAGTAAAAAGACAGAAACATCTGGTGCGTGTCGGATGACATTTATAAGGCATCACTTTGGTATTTTGACCTGCTTTCACTTTAAGTGATCAAGAAACTCCAAGGTCAACGATCAGCAACGTAGAGGATAACAATTTACAACGGCAATAGGTAAGCTTAAGTTCATTTTATTTCTATACTTGTACATGTATTGATTGTAGACCCAAGTTTCGTTTAACTGAAATCACTTTCAGCAACCACGCTTTTAACCATCGTCAACGTCGAGAAGCCTTTCTTTTCCTTTTCAATTTCACTAAACAGAGCGCTATTATTGACAAAAGCAGTGCTTCCTCCATGGTCTACCCAAAACTGATCTAAAAACGTAAGTAAAAACTTTCAAGTGCGTTCGCTAGTTTTTCAACCGTCATACTTGACCCTTTTGTCAGACAGTCAAGACGTGAGGTAAAATGTTTTGTCTAGACCGGACTTAATAGAAATGGAGGTGAAATAAGTGGCAGTAGGGAGTTTTGTGGATTTCTACCAATCGGGTGATATTTCATTAGACATAGGCGGCGACAATTCTTACTTCAAGAAGGTACATGCACTTATGGGTTCGCCACAAAAGCTATTTGCTAGAAATGCCGCCCCCATGGAGGAGCAACGGAGCAGCAACAACCCCCCTGAGAATCCGGTTGGACCTTGGACCTTAAAATTTGCATAGTTAATATGGTTTTGTATACACGTTTGGAGATTTCTAGAATGGGCAAAAGATAACTCTGTGACAGTGAACCCCCAAAACTTTTTTAATAGCAAGGGTAGCAATTTTTTCCAGGGGGGTCAAATCCTGAAAATCCTAAAAACTGTATACAAAACCATGTTAAATATGGAGGGGAGCCACGAGCACCCATGTTGCGGTACAATTTAAACATGACAAGCTTCACGTGTATCTCGTGTTGATACTTTTTATCAGCGAACCGGCACTGCATAAACTGCCCTGATATATCATATAATCCTTTCTACAACATCATTTATCAGAATGGTGCGTGATGCTTCCTAATCCACTTGGGAGCCGTGCCACACTGCCACAAACCTTGATTAAAGAATACTGCTAAAGTGATGTCTATATTGCTGATGTTTCATTCTAACATCAAAGGTCAACGGATGTAGTCTCACTTTTCCAGTTTCGTACTTAAGGGTTCGTATTAAAATAGCATGACTTTTTTGGAAGGCAAAAAACGGTTTACAAAAATAGTTGCTGCTGATATAAAATAATCATACATAATGAGTATTTAACATTTTATTAATATAATGTTTATGTAAGTACAGTAAGCACGCGGGTTAAAACTACGAATGGATTTGTATACATACATGTAATAATTAGAACAAGGCATTCAGTGTCAAAGCATTTACAGTACAGTATATATCATTACAATAAGTAAGGACAATAAAATACTTCAGTATCAGACAGACAAACGTTAAGCTAATGAAAACACGGCTCCAACAGGAATCCCTGTAAGTAAAATATGGAATATGTAGTTGTGTTCAAGAACAGTTAAAAAATCAAATCAAATCCAGACTCTACACATATCTGCGAAGATAAGCTTTTGGCTAAATGACAAACGCAGATATTTCAATATTTCCAAGGGATTGTTAGATATACAGCGGTCCCCTACTTATTTTTGAATGAGTAAGTAAGCAAGCTTAAATTCGGGATAATGGCATTCATGCAATACTGGATGAGCACTATTTGGGGCATTATTTCAAACATAATAGAGGTTCGTGCAATATCTCATTTTCAAACTCCGTATGATGTGTATTTTATAGAATATAAAATCACTATCTTCCAGAATAACTAACTGACAGGCTGTCACAGTTGAGAGTTTTTGTACATTGAAGCTCATATAACTCAACAACTCATCTCTTGGAATCGTCCATTCTAAAACTTGTCAAAACCTGTAAAGTTTTGTTAAGCCGAATTGCAATTATTGCACATTCATATAGACTCTTCCAAAGAAGGATATTGATACGATTATACCATAACGTTTTGATCGTTTATTAGTTACGAGCGATACAATTCAATATAAAAATACGCTCAACGTTGACAGCCTTCTAGATAGCCATTTTGAAAAGTCGTGATTTTATATTCTAGAGTTATAAAGTACTCGTAAGGAGCTTCAAATTAAGGTATTACACGATTGTACCCAATAGATGCACTATGCCTATGATTTCTTCTTTGATAAGACCATTAGAGCGCGACCCTGATGAACTAAAAAATGGTTAAAAACAACCCGTCCTTACACAGTGTGCACATCCATAATGTTCCCATTGGGTGAAATGGCCAAATACCCAATTTTGTAAGTATGCAGGGTCAGGATCAGCGTACGGCAGTTGACCAAAATAATAATGTTTAGCTTTAGGCTTGGTTGATTCCGATATATCCCACCGTCTAGCAGATATAGCCTCATTTTCCCATTTTGGTGGTGGTGATTGTGTTGACCATAGTTCATTAGAAAACAGCATTGCATCACCTAGGTATGTCATGTACTCCGTGGTGTAGTCAGTATCTGATCCTTCACATGGAGGATCGTCGTAATAATAGTGAACCGGATTGAGTAATGAACTGAACCTTGAATCATCTGGACGGAAATCCTTGTTTGGCATTGTTTTTAAAGAGTGTACCAAAGGATCTTCTATTATACTCTCTTGAGGACCAGCGAAAGAGCTCGTGTTGAATCTGTAAAATTAATGGATGGATTGATGAATTCTGAGATCAGGATCGAATTTTTCGATGAGACGACTTTTTCACACGGAAGTAAATGTACAAGCATAGTTATCATTGTAATCTATAATCAGTGGTTATAATAATCAGTTTTGCAATAAAAACTGGTCTATGTTGGAATGGCATTTTGATCTGTACTTAAAGAGGTAATCGAAAAGTCAGTAAAGAGTCATTTCTACGCATGTTGCTTCATTTGGCCAAAAGAGACGGCGTTCTATTATATATTTTTTCATTTTTTTCCAATCTACTTTAAGCAGCGCATCCTCGATTAGTTAAAAAAATTACCTGAGCATTGGATTGGGATGAACTGCGTCATTGACGTACATTTGAGAGACTACAGTACGTAGTTCCAACCTCATCCCTTCAGGCAGCTTACTTACAACGATTCTATTATTGAGACTAGTACCGTTCAGCCACCTGAAGGCGTGTTTAGCAACGTCAGTCAAAACATACGTGACTGAGCAGTATCTATTTTCGACACCTGGGCTTTCATCGGGCAGATAAAGCCGAACCTCAAAAACCTAAAAAATGATATAACGTAATATTTGATGGTATATTTATCCAGGTATGCCTAAACCCAAACGTTTTTACGTTACGACGTCGACACGTTCTTTGAAATAGGTGCATCAAAACACTATTGTAATACGACATTTAGTAAGAATTACACTTTTTAAGCTCAGTTCCAGTACCTCACAAATTAATGCTTTTCATAATAATATGTGATTAACGTATTCAACTTGAATATAGCCGACCGTAACAGAGATAAAGTAAGATACCCTATAGTCATCTATATGCTTGTATATGCTTATATAAAAGCGTCAACAAATCCAGAAGATATGACAGGATATTTCATTTGTAAACTGTTGGCTAATTAGTTTTTGTGAGCTCCTAGATTGGACGGTTAAATGCATGAAAGTATTCTCTTAACCTTGACCATAAATGTATATGTTTTTATTTCATCAGTGATGCATCGGCCGAGTACATAAAATGCCAAAAATATAGATAAGCAACACTGCAGCTTTCAAAAACTATTTGTTGCAATGTTCTTGGTGTAGTTTGACGAATGGTTTTGGCTTTTAGTGGAATCGCAAATTCTAAAACGTCTCATTCACTTGTGTTGATCTGACGAACATCTCCATCGGAAAATCATCAAATATGACTATTAAAATCTAAATAATCCAGTCCCACAGTGGCGAAGCGTCCATGTAACCATTGTTACCATTGCCAACTTTTAAAAAATCTTATGAATAAATATTTTATGACTAAGTACTGTGAAATAATTTCACTTATAGGTTTACCAACAGCGATATATGTAATAGTAATTCAGTAAATAGCAAATTAGCCCCACGAAAATAATGCGCCCTATAGTGTCTAGGTTTTGCGAACACGATGAAGCTGACTCGCCTCGACTTGGTTGTTACCATTTTGAGTTATGGATACACTTGGTAGTCCGTCGGGGACCGCCGGTACCGGCTCGTGTCTGATCGCGGCCGCCCGAGTGCGTGGGGCGCTGCGACTATTATGTGGGCTTGTTACCATTTTTTGATTGGGTTACTCACTTCTCACTCGTCAGTAGCCGTTTTGGTTACCGGCTGTAGTGTGCGTGCAATTAAAGATGGATGAGTGTCGCTGCGTAATCGATCAACTACTTGAATAGTCATTCTCCTAGTATAATTTTTAAGAAAAAAAAAAAGGAATAAAAAACGTAGTTTGATATTTTAAATTAAGTTGGTATATGGAAACTCTTGGTTATATGGTTGCAAAAAAACATTGTATTGTTGTCAATGTCTTCTGTTTTATACAGAAAAAATGGGTGGACCAGCAGCGGAGTCAACGATTTAAATAGTTTTAGGGCTCTAAAGAGGAGACATGAAATTTCTCCATTACATGTGAGATGTGTAGCTAATTTAATTCAGTTTGGTAAAACAAGAATCGAAAGTTGTCTTAAACCAAGCTTTTATGCAGCACACTTCTAGATACCGTATGTTTTTTGGCAAAACAGGAATTACCGTTCATTTTGAAGGGGATGACTCTGACAATAGAGGAAATTACCAGGAATTGTTAACATTCATTGCCAAAAAGGATCAAAAATTTTTGAACATCTAGAAACGTCGACTGTTTTTTCGGACGGCTTGGATTAGTCATAGCATAAGACGATGAGGTATATCAAGTGCCCCAGACGCTCAGTCCAGGAATGTTTACCTTAATTTAAAAATAGTTTAAATAAAATACCTAAACTCAAGTAAGCAAAAACTTATATTTGGGAGGTTCAAAATAAACTTTTTTTGGTAACAGTTTAGGAAAAGTCACGCGTCGCCACTGCAGTTCTTCGTTTCAGTTATGCGATTGTAGTCTCCTGATTTTTTGCAAAGTTACAAAGATGCAAATTAATATGCACAACTTCATATTTCTTAATTATTTATAGATCTAATAACGGCGTATTATTTATCGGGAATAACAGTTGACTTTACATTCTGCTGTCGATAGCTAAGCGCTGCGCGCTCTCCGTCATCTATCAAAAGCTATTAGTTGTATTAAAAAAGTTGTAATGACTTCATTCTCTACAATATTTATGATAAATGCAGATAGCATTAAACCCATATAGGAAAAGATATCCGCAAAAAGCAGACTTTTGCGAGCTTTAAAATCTTAAGACGGGGACACAAGACTTTATGAAACTTTTGAGACAACGTTTATAATGGCTAAATAGAGGTTTCTACAAGATTACAGTTTATCATTTTTTCTTTGGTTGACCCTCATTATGACATATAATTAGACTACAAACTCCTATTAGAATCACATTTATTCCACAACAAAACAAATGTCAGTTTGCACACATCAACTCTATTGCTCGTATTTGTTTTGACGCGGCGTAAATACTACTTTACCAAAATCTGTTAACAAAAAAAAAACAGTGTACCTACGCCTATGCTTTGTGCTGGACCCGAGCGCCAGCGTTGCCACATCTACTGTTTTTCGGTAATCTACTGTTCTAGTCCTTCAGCTACCGCAAAACGCTCTCTACATTTTTTACCGCACAAATTCCATTTATATTCGACACCCTAAGCGTGCAGGCTTACCATTCTATCAAAAATGTGTATTGGGCCAACCAACCGCTTGGATTGTCATTTAGGGATTGGCTGTGCACACCTCCCCCACCCCACCCTTACACTATCAACAACCGTATTTCCATATCTACCGTTTTGGTTCAATCTATCGCTTTTTAGGCGTCTCTTCTACCGTTTTCAGCATTTTTGACCTGGCAGCACTGCCGAGTGGTGAACTGCTGATGCCACTATTTTATAGTTGAAATCAAATACATAGGTAGTTACTTTTATTTTAAAGGTAATTTTCTTTTTTCAATGTTTACCAACATATAGGTAGGTTCAAACCAAAGGAAGAAGATATGACGATTCGCTATTAACATTAAAAAAGCTTACCTGTCCAGCCTGGAGAGCAAATCTCAGTATATCCTCTAGCTTTGTAGACCTATGGAGGCCCCAGATAACAATATTTTGCCTGTGCTTTGGTGGTAGGAAGTTTTTCAATGTTGCTACCATTTCCGCGTTGTGTAAAGTCATTTTATAAAATACAGAGAAATCGTTAGATTTGATCATTAGTTTGCAGAGAAACTCGTCAATTGCTGTGGCCTCTTGGTCCATTGTTACAATGTTCAGGTCAGCTTAAGGTTGTTGTACTAGACTAGATCACTCACTAATTTTGAAATTCCATAAAACGAAGCGTTTTCAGTTTAGTCACTGAGTGGGCGTCGTCAGTTGTCTTTTCTTTTCCCGCCGTTTGCCATGCAAGCGTTGCCAAATTGTCGCGAATTTTACCTTCGAATGAGGAAAATGGTGTGCGTGATAACAGGATGGCGAATTCAAATTATTGGGGTGCAGAAATATAAAACTTTTGCTGTATAAAAAACAGCTGCTATTTTTTCCAGTTAAAAATGGGCAGATATGTTACCACATAGGGTTCGGTTTGATTCTGAATAGCCCAGGAATATTAGACCCTTTACCCAAAAAATGGCATATTGACAAAAAAAAGTTTCAACATTCGTAAGCTATTCCGTGGTGTGAAGATTACAGAACTCTCTAAAAGAAAATGAATGTAGTAAACTTGAGAACCACTAAATAAAAGTGTTACTGCAAAATTGGAAATTAATCTTGGTGTTTTGGAATATTTGGTTGGAAAGCAGATTAAATCCTCAAATTTCCGTTGTATTTGACTGCTTGGTATTGACACAGTCTGATGCTAGGTAGACATATAAGCGAGCTCTGTGTGTCCGGCGATTTTCCCAAAATTTTGTGGTCTGTGTCCAGTCGGAAGTAATAATTATGCTGTTAAACACTGGGGATGATACGAACATTCGCGTCCACTTAATTCTTGATTTACGTATTTTCTGATCTTGTTCTAGTCAGTTTTTTCCCTTCATGATGAGGCATACATTTCTGTATTGTTACCAATCGCTAACGCATTGGTTAAGTAAGTGTAAGAGTAGCGAATGCTAAATTCGCCAATCAGTTAGCCTGCTTCTGAGGCCCGTATCGTCAGTCGTCCCTACAATTGTAGGGCACCTTTATGGCCTCCTTAATTGTCATAGTTTTCTACTTCTCCGTGTCAGCGCTCTATTTTGAGGTTATGTCACAAACATCTATATGCATCAAATTGTGCTTAGTTTTGAGTTATATCATGTTTTATCAGCCTGAAATTTATCTTCACAATAGGAGAGCGCTGACGCTGACACGGGACAAGTGTAATCTAGAAATTTTTGAAGGAGAGAAAGAAGTATGACAATCAAGGAGGCCATAAACGCGCCCTACAATAGTAGGGACGACTGACGATACGGGCCTAAATAAAGACGATTATTATTATATAACAGTATAACTGGTACCTTTCATAAAACTGAAAGAATTATTTCCATAACTTGGAGTTTAAGGAAGTTATGACATTTTCTGTGTGGGTGCTGACGCAGCCGACCAACCTCGCGCGTTAGGTTCGGCAGTTACGTCAGATGACATAAGTTCGACTTCTGACGACGCGGCGATCCTTGCATATGACATTCATCCTTAGCGCCCAAGCTCACCAGATACTCAATACATAAAATGGAAAGTTTTTCTGCGCACCGATTCCACTAGTCTTCCAAAGGTGGACATAATAATGGTTAATAGTTTCATATTTATTCACGCTATCGACGCCACAGTGGTTCAGAAAAATATGGCCAAAATTAGAAAGATCACTAAATTTTACAAAAAATCAATTTCGACATTTTCCAGGTGGCTAATATAAGGAATATATGGTATCCATTTATCAAAGACCAAAATGGCGGATTTAATATGGTACACAACGTAGCAAAAAAATGTTTTGGTTGAATACTAAAATTTAGTTTTAAGAGGTCCTCGAACTTGATAACGATTGTCCAAAGTTTCAAGTGTGTATTTATGATCATACGACTGCTATTTAAATTACACTTAGTTTTAATTTTGCACGTTTTAATATTTCAAAATACATATAAGAAAAGCCCGGACAAAGCGAACACCTGGAAAGTCGATTTTCCGTTTTACATCCAAACCATGCATCAACCATCATGAAAAAATGCATAAGACTTGATGGTTAATTTTTTTTTCAATAACCCGCAATCGGATGTAGAAGAATATGTTATCATGTTATCATCAAAATATATTTTTTCGATAAAAAAAATGACATTACAACATAGGTGTTGCGCTTGCGATTTCATCTTGATACTATCTATACCAATAACCATTTAAAATGATTGGCGTATATTTGAAGAACATTCTCGGCCATACAAATGCAAATTCAGCATAAAAAGGGTGCTTAGATTCTTAAATGCCATTTTTTGCCCAATTAAAATGTATGTTCACGCCTTGTATACGATAAATAAAAATACATTTTTGATATATATATATATAATTAACATTAATGGCGAAAAATAAACAGCATTCTGTAAAAGCTACAACAAATATTTGAAAAAACAAAACAAACTTGACAAAAAATACATGTATAAAATGCATGATACAAAAAACGATCCCATATAACTTCCAAACAAGTATTATTGGAACCCAGCTAGCACAGGCACGTCATATAATGACGACGATATTTAGTGCTAACTAGTCAACTGACGTGATTGTTCCAAATATCCACGTCGTAAAAAAAATTATTCCCTTGTTCAGGGTTCTACAAAAAAATGTTTAAAAACACTAACTTTACAAATACATTAATTAAAAATTTAAATAATACAATCGAAGTAAAGGCTACTTATTTTGGTTAGGACATTAAAACATAAAATTAGCTATTTAAACTCATCCCCGAATTACATTAACGAGATAGCAATTTCCAACATATACACACATCCCCCTCTCCATCAACCTGCCTCTGGGCTGTAACTGGTAATAGACTTTCGTGTTATATTTATGTTCATGACATTGTATTATTTTTTGACCACCACAGTTTCGAAGTAAAAGAGTGACTTTGCTGTAATTTTTCTCTGTGATAGTCAAACACGGAAAGAACTTTATTATTCGTAGTCATTTTATATTATCTTTGTTTAATTTTCATCTTTTTGTGTGTATATGTTTAGAATTGCTATCTTGCTAATGTAATTCGGTGATGTTTAAATAGTTAATTCTATACTTGGTATTAACCAAAATGAGTATGTTTTACTTCGATTTTATTATTTAAATTGTTAATTAATGCAAAGACAGTATTTTTAATTTTTTTTGTAGAGCACTGGAGAAGGAAATAATTCTGAAAACATCGGAAACTTTATAACAGGAAACTGTAGTTCTGTAGATCCCAAATTACAGTTAATTACAAGGAATATCAACATAATGCGAGAAAAATGTTTAAACCTGCAACTGCCAACATTTTGAAGGATGAAAATAATATTTTTATTTTTAGGAGCTTTTGTTCAGAACTTCTGTGTGACTAGCTCTTTTGTAATTTTCTGACAGAATTTACATAGTTTTATGTTTCCAACTTGTAGAGTGAAAACGATACATTTATGTAGATGTCTTTAATTAATAGGTTATAAAAACATTATTCTTGCTAATACTTTGTTTGCTAGGTATTAATTCAGTGGCGTTCTATCTGTTTGTGACAATCATACAAACCAATAGACCAAAAAAATCATTGGGTGGAATGTCCGATTTTAATGACTTAATGATACTTTTAAAATCACAAATTGTCAAAATGACAAAAATATTTATACCTTTGCCGATTTAACAACATTTTGTAGGATGTAAATAACACTTTTGTTTTATTTTCACGAGCTTTGATTCAGAATTTTAATGTGGTAGGCCACTAAAAATATTCAGATGACTCATTTTTCCCTGAAAAACCGACAACTAGCTTTTTTGTACTTTTCTGAGATAGATTGAATACCATACAACTTTTATGAATCGTTGTAGACCTCTCGAAACAATACCCAAACTCGCGGTGAATGAAACAAAACTTGTCGCAAACATTTTGAAGACGTTGAAATGACATATTACGTCTGTATTTACAATGTTGTTTAGAATCAATCTTTCCGATTCAAAGCAGAGAAATAATTATCTCATTCCATCCCTGATCAACGTTCACTCAAAGCAACTCAAAAGTTATCTGAAATGACAAATTAGTAAGGTGTTGCTATCGTATAATGTTCCATTTCTCTGTTATATTTATAATCTAATATATATTTAACGATTTTTAAGAATAAATGTTGGTTCAAAATGGATAAAACATGACCTTATTGGATGCAACATTTCCATAGATCATACAAAATAAAAAATACATATTACATTTCAACTTTTCAATGTGTTATATATTTCTTGAAAAAGTGTTTACGTTTAATCTAGCAACACTGTATCTAGTAACAACTGACAGTAAAGCGGCCTGTAGACGTTCAATATTATTGTGCAATATTTTGGTTTGTGCAATATAATTGACTGTATGTGGGCAATATTGAAAGGTTGTGCAATATATTGTGTGGTTTTCAAACTCGTGAAAATATATTGTGCAAACGGGAATATATTGTGCCGTCTGTTGGCAACATTACACAATATCCCATCAGTTGGTCTCAATCCTTTCGAATGACGAGTTCATCAAATAATTCTCCGTCCATTCGTCAAAAGTTGCGGAAATTGGTTCAACTATTCTCAGTTCATTGAGTAGTTTTTCGTGGGTGTACTTTTTCCTATCAATAAACCTGAGATCTTTTTCTTTTCTGTTTTTGCACTTGCGACCACAGCAATTACCACGCAATACAATGATTTCACGCAACATGTTGAGTGCATGAAATTCTGACTAGGGCTGTTTGTACAATGTGCTCACGATTGCGCCATATGTTTATTATACCACCTTTAATATCGCCTCCATACGGTACAACATTTTGTACATTCAACAAAAAATATTGTATAATAATATTGACCGCCTATGGGCCATCGTCAAAATATTGTGCAAGCCACATTGCACAATAATATTGAAAGTCTACAGGCCGCGAATCGCTGCAATCGACGACATTCCTCGTACTCCCACACACCCGCTATTTGTACCAGGTGCCCGCGTCTCTCCGACTTCCACATCCTGAGTATTCCCAAAAACTATAGAAAAATAAGCCATTTTGAAAGCAGTTTCCGGCTAACGTGACTAATTATCTAGTATGTTGTATACCCTGTGTGTTACCCGTATAAGTACTCAGCTCATAGAGTGTAAAAAATAGCAACATTACCATAGTGTTCACTCCCCAAACACCATGTAAACCAGTGAAGTGAGGGATGGGGGCCCCCGTAATACGTCGTCTTTCGGAGCTAGGTGAGCAGCACTGAACTGTGTTACAATCTATAAGCCCATTCTGTTCAGTCAGTAATACTACTATCACACAATATTTTATCAAGAAGCTAAAACTGGTAATTAATTATACATAATAGACATATTATGGTGTCAGCAGTATGTGACACCATAATAGACATATTATGGTGTGAGCAGTATGTGATGGTCATTTTCACGTTACTTTTACGTTATTCGACTCGTGATTTCTCGTCATTTCATGACCAGTTTGTGATGTCATTTTCACGTGCTTGTGCTATCTGGCAAGATTATTTGTATTCAAAAAATATAAAAACTGATAAAACAACTCCTTATGAAATGCTACATAAAAATAGATAAAAACCCCATAAAATATTCTAAAAAAAGATATGGATTCCGTAATCTTCTCATAATAGAAACAATTCCATAAGTAGTACTATTTGGTTTTTTCTTGCACGTTTTAACGCCCGTCGCTTCTGCAGCCATGCATCTAATTATCTGTCAGAAAACTCTGTAAAAAAATAGAAAAATCAATAAACCTACTTGAATATCCCTCATTCGCATCCCGAAATACGAGTAAAACATTGAATTGTGGATCAGAAAGTGCTTGAAATCAGTTAGAAATTGTATATTATACGAAGTTCATGCAACTGCATACTCACGCAAAGATAGCAGGCTGATTCTGACAATCTCGGTGCGTGTAGGCAATTGTTGTTGGCACTGTAGTTGCCAAATTCTGGCATAGCACAAGGGAGTTGTCCAAATACCAATGGCATGCGACTGCAACAAATACTCATAACATCATACCCATAAAACATTGAAACAAACTACGCGATGTAAACAAGTCCTAACAAGTACCTTAATTTTTTCAAAGTCTTTTACCCTAGCTTAATTGAATTAAATTATTGTCCACAAGATGAATCAGATACACTTTTACTAGATGAGAAATTACTAGAATTAGTTGAAATCTATGTTATATATAAACTTAATTTTGCTAAAAAAAAGCACTCTGTTACTTGTGTTTCAAATTTGAACCTCGTCTTTAGGATCCCGGAAACGGTGACGCGACCGTTTCCGGGACCTTACACGATCAATATTTACTGTGGTCCGTACAATCAGTGGATTTTTACGTAACATTATGCATCAGTGTTATCATTTGGCTAGTTAGTTTGATCAAATAAGTTTTTGTGACGTTTTTAACATATTGCAACAGAGTTTCCTTTCCCTATCCACATATTTTTGAATTGCTCACCTCGTGTTGCTGGAGCTGTGTTTAGAGTTATACATAAGTGACTGGATGATTAGAATTTGAAAAACGAAATTAAATTTAGCCGAATTTCACAATCTAAGGAAATTTATTATTGGGTTCAAAATCATAAGAAACGAAAAAAAAGTAAAGTCAAGTTTAAAGGAGTTATAGTTTTTTGTCATAATACTGGTACCACTAGACAGGCTTTTCAAAATTTCTCAAAACCCAGTGATACTTTCCAAGTTATAGAAGGACCAATGATTAAATTGGCTGTTTTAGGCGGTTACTCTATCGCAACAGGACCGATTAATACGTAATAACTAAATAATTTTCTATCTGTAATAGAGGGCCAAGAATTAACATCCCAAAAAATATACCTACTATATGTATGTTATATCTGAAAATTATTTTTCCGTTTGACGGTTTTTGCTATTAGAGTACCCTGTTCGAGGGATATGTACGTCCAAAAAATAGGTAGGTATATAAAATTGGCAGTAGGTATAGCAACATTTGTCATATATTATCTCAAAGTGTTGCTTTAAAGTATGGAAAACGATTAAATTTCTTACTCAAAAATGTATTTCGTGCAATATCTGTTTGGATGTTTCAAAAAAGAAATCCTTAGTAGTTATCATATCCTTATGAATTGTCGAATCGTCGTGGAAGATATTTAAATGGATAAAACAATAAAAGGCAAATAAAAAAATATCCAGCATAGTTAAGTAGATATATTTCTGAAACTTTCACCAAAAATTTTTCTGTAGCTGCCCTCCATCCGTTTTGAGCTTCGTACGCCCTTGTCTATTTCTTACCTTTTATTATTTTTGCAGGCATTGACCATGTAGTCCAGTGGAGGAGGTATTTTTGTACCTTCTTGAAATACATTTAGTCTTGGGGCAGTTATCTGAAACAATTTATTGTAATTTATGTATCTAAGGCGTTAAGCGGAACTTTTATGGCCTACAGTAAAACGAGAGCTCAAGGCGTTCATATCAAAAATTTAGAATAGCCTTCAAGGATACTTGGACTGAAAATAGAGATAAATTGATCATGTTGTTGCATCGTCGATAGTAGAGCCATCGCCTAGCAATGATTATAAATTAAAAACATGGGTAGTTTAGACAAAGCGGTGCGCTAAAGCTACTTTATCGTCCTAGTGAATGAACAATCTGAAAAGTGGGACTTGATAGCAGGAGAACCTATTACTTACCAAATTACTTACTCGTTATTATTACAACACTAATTTTTCCAGTTTGTAAGTTTATTGTCACATTTTACTCAACACTCAATAATCATATACAACAACGTTGGTCGTCGAAATTCCGTGATACAAAAACTAAACTAATTCATGTTTTTTAATGCTGTTGCTTTAACAAAACTTGCAGAGATGGACCTTTTTATTGAGTTAATAATTGACGAAGTGAACGAAAGTCTGTATCAATCTATACGTTCAATATAATGAATTATTATTTGTGATATGTTTCAATGGTTACATAAAATTACTTACAGGTTGTTCAACTGCGTTGGCAGAATTAAGGGTCAAATGCCGAAAGCTGTTATCCAGTGACGTGGATGCAGATATATTTGTTCTGAAAAGAACAAAGTATTTGTTTATCTGTACTACAGTGTTAACATATAAAGAGCAACATACCTGAAAGAAAAGCTGTCGTTTGTATAAGGTATTGACGATTGTGAACACGTTGGAGATGGCGTATCTTGCACCTCCTTGAACAAAAAAATAGTCATATCATGAATTATGGGAATATTCAAAATAACGAAAATCTATCTCCATGATGTTCTATACTTTACAAATAAATCCACAGATATAGAGGTTTACTACATCTGTGGTTTCATTTTGGGACGAGTAGAACATAGAAGTTGATATGCGAGACAACCACATTGATAAGTTTGATATTGATGTTAAATTAGCGAAAATATATTCAACTCATTTCCGTCAGCTTATCTTATGGCGCATAATCTTAGAACGAGCCGAACCAATTTTCATGGATTTTGGGGAGCGACATCTCACAGGGGCAGGGGTGTAAAAAACAAAAAATGGCGTTTTTCCTTGCCATATCGGTAGTGCATCTGGAAACGACGATACCCAACTCGGGCAGGCAAGCTACCGTGGCGGCATGGCCAGAGCATAGCAAACACTATACTATTGATCAGCAGAAGTACGGGTGATTCCATAACAGAACAGTTATCACGGTCGGCGCACGACGCCAGCAGCAATCGCGGCCGATATGTACGCGAACCATTTCCCGAGAATATTTGTAAGTTTACAGGACAGGTACAGAGAAATCTATTATATCTCATGTCTCGACTCGTAAATACAGATATGTAGTATCCCAGCGAGAGCGCAGGCCACACACTGCAAAGGCAACAATCAACAACGTCCCCGGCACCCGCCTATGTACAAATCATTCCTTCGCAGTGTGTTGGCCACACAGCATGTTTACGTTTTCTTTGTTTCTTTTTCACGAATAATTCATTCTGTGTGTGTATAATATTGCCAAAAATGCCCAAAAGAAGACGTTGTGATAGTGATGTGAATAAGAAGCTGCTTAATCTAAAACATAAGATCAGAAAATTGGAAGAACAACGTCGTCGTCGTTCACGGCGTTCCTTCTCGCCCTCTAGTAGTGGTAGTAATTCGCCTTCATCACAATTTGCTCGGTCACCTCGGTCATTGAGAAGAGTATCGCCTCATCATGGTGGCTTATTAGGGGTTTGCAAACACCCAGGTGAAAACTATCGACGTCGTATGCGAGTCTTATCGTCGTCGGATGAGGAGTCTGATACTGGTAAGTTTTATTTTACTATGATTCTATTCAGATTGATTTTCATTGACGTTACAATGGATCTAGGGCATGTAGACATATGCCTCCCATTTTTTTGCTTATAATATCCTACCTTCTTAATCCTGCTATTTATTGGCAGAGAGGAACTATACATACTATATGTATTTACCTTCAATTATTCTCAACTATTTAATTAAAACTGTTTCCTACCAGGAAGGTAGAGGACTGTAAGAGTCTATGTTATCTATATCATAAGATACGATATTTTCACCCACCTACAAAACATTTCCTACTAAATAAGTTGGTAGAGGATGAAAATAAATTCATCTTAGAATTACATAGCTGGGTTTAAAATTTACACGAATATATCCCCCTCTGTTTTCATGTTTTTAAGATATTAATATGTCCTCTTCTTTTTAGAAGAGAGACAGAGGGGAGGCGACAATGAGGATCAGGAGAGCCAGGATCCACTTGATGAAAATATTTTGCAGTTGCTTGGTCCCAATGTTGCGCACAAGGAAGTTGAGGGGTCAAATATTCAAAAAGACCTAGCTCTTAGATGGGAGGTTATTTTAAAACAGGGTCTCAGTATGGAAGATAAAAATACAATTATTGATGGCTATCCTATCCCTAAGAACTGCCAAGCCTTCAACCCACCTAAGCTTAATAAAATAGTGTCTGCTGCCATAACAGATTCTGTAATCAGAAGAGATATCAAAATGTCTCTAAATCAGACTCAGATTGGGGCCGCGGCTTCTGCAGTGGGATTGGCTGATACTACTCTTTTAAAGGAGGAAAAAGAAGAGCACAATAGCATTATAAAACAGCTAAGTGATGCTGGCCGACTAATGGCCGATTTGTTTCCTAGCTAGTCACAATGTAGAAGGGAGCTCCTTCTATTTAATTTAAATAAAGACTTAGATACCTTGGAAAAATCTGAGCTTTCCTCTTGGCTATTTGGAGATAACCTTGAAGAAGAGATTAAGACGTCCAAGACTCTTCAGAGGACCAGTGAGGAGTTACGACAATCCAGCTCCAAGACAAGGAAAGTTTTTAGACCTTTAAACTTAAAGAGTCTGTCCCGACCAAAAAACGGCTTTACTCGGGGCAGACAGAACCACTACAATCCGTCGCAGAGCTCAATGGGCGACAACCCACGACATCATCAGCCACAAGCATACCGCAATCAACACAACAGACATTTTTACAACAATCGTCAAAAAGAAAAGAGACGCCGAGTACCGACAAACAACAGAAATCGCTAGAGGTTAGTAAGTTAGCTGGCAGATTAAGCATTTTTTTTCCAGGATGGCAAAAAATAACTTCGAATAAAATGACTATCTTATGTATCAGGATTATCGATTCCCTTTTCAAAAAGACCTTTTCAAAAATCCGCACCTCATGAACCTAATTGTTCCCGCGGTGAAAAGGTGGAAATTGAAAGATCTATTAGTGAACTGATAAAAATTGGCGCTATCTCTGAAGTTGTTACATATAAAAATTAATTCATTTCTAATATTTTTTTGACACCAAAAAAGGATGGATCGAAAAGATTAATAATAAATATAAGGGCTTTAAATGTTTTTGTTACTAATACACATTTTAAATTAGGTGATCAGAAGACAGTTGCGCGACTCATAAAGCCCAACTGTTTTATGGCTACTATAGACCTCAAAGATGTCTATTTTTTGCTTCCAGTAAAAAAGTCTCATAGAAGATATTTGAGGTTTAGGTTTAATGACACTCTTTATGAGTTTAATTGTCTTCCTTTTGGATTGAGTTGCGCCCCCAGAGTATTGACTACACTATTAAAGCCTGTTTTGGCTTTATCAAGGATAAGAGGGCTAATATCTAATCTCTACCTGGATAATTTTTTGCTTAGTGGTGTTAGTTTTGAAGCTTGCCAATCGAATGTAAAACAAACCTTAGAACTATTAGAAAAATTAGGCTTTATTATAAACTATTCAAAAAGTTGCTTGACTCCCAAACAAAGTATCACCTATTTAGGTTTTTTATACAACTCCTCAACATTCTCCTTTTCGCTGCCGCTCGATAAACAAATAAGAATTAAAAAACTTATTGATAGATTTCAAAGGAAGAAAACCTGCACTGTAAGAGATTTTGCTAAGCTTGTAGGTACTTTGGTCTCTTGTTGTCCTGCTATACCCTACAGTTGGCTCTACATAAAGTCATTTGAAAGGGAAAAATATAAAGCCCTTAGAACAAAGAATGGTTCGTATAATGCTAAGATGTCTTTAAATCCAGCCTTCGCTGGAGGCTTTATATGGTGAAGCTCCCACATTTCCCTTGAAAGATCTCTTAGTCCCCCTAGTTTTGTTTTAGAAATTTTTTCCGACGCCTCTACGACGGGGTGGGGGGTGTTTTGTAATGGTCAGAAGACGCACGGGTATTGGACGGATCAGGAAAGAAAGTTACATATAAATTGTCTAGAATTATTGGCAACATTTGTTGGCCTAAAATGTTTTGCTTCCGATTTGTCCAATAGCTGTATTCTTTGTAGAATAGATCACACTATGGCCATTGCATGTATAAATAGGATGGGAAGCATACAGTACCCCAAATTAAATAAAATTTCTAATAATTTGTGGAAATGATTGGAAAAGAAAAAATTGTTTGTATTGGCCTCCTACATAAGGTCTTCTGAAAATTTAGAAGCTGATAAAGAATCCAGATCTCTTAGAGATGAGACAGAATTTGAATTAAATCCTATTATTTTCGATCAAATAGTTAATATTTTTGGTAGACCTCAGATAGACCTATTTGCTAGTCGTGATAACACAAAGTGTGATATATTTGTATTATGGCGCAAAGATCCAGACAGTTTTGCAGTTAATGCGTTCACCTTGAATTGAAGAAATTTAAATTTTTATGCTTTTCCTCCTTTTTCCCAGATTTTAAGAGTTCTACAAAAGATTAAAATTGACCAAGCAGGGGGTGTAGTGGTGGTTCCAAAATGGGTTACTCAACCTTGGTATCCCCATTTTATGTCCCTTCTAAAGTTAGATCCCATTTATTTTTCTCCAAATAAAGACCTAATATCTTGTTTCTCTGATAGACATCCGCACTCGCTAGATCACCAGATTACCCTGGTTGTAGCGTTCTTATCCGCCAGGCGTTAGAGAGAAGACAAGTTCCCAATGAGGCTTTAGATATTTGCATGGCATCTGTAACCAACTCTACACTAAAGCAGTATAACAGTGCCCTCCAACTTTGGTGGAAATACTGTATAGACAATAGCTTGGATATTTTCTGTGTAACACAAATAGATATCGTAAAATTTCTAACACTTCAATTTCATAGAGGCTGTTCTTATGGCACGCTAAATTCCTACAGATCGGCTATAGGTCAAATAACAGGTGAAGACATCTTAAAAGGATTTATGTTAACACGGTTTTTAAAGGCATTTATAATCTTAGACCTAATCAACCAAAATATGATTCAGTCTGGGATCCTTCAATTGTTCTGGATGTTATTGAAAAATGGAATAATGATACCATAAATTTAAGATACCCTACGTTTAAGTTGACTATACTTTTGCTTTTATCTACGGATCAACGTGTACAAACGATAGCCAAGTATGTAATATTGAAGACTCTTCAGATGGAGTTACTATTAAGATACCAAAAAGGTGAAAAACCTCGTGTAAAAACAAAGTACAGCCAAACATAAGACTACCATTTTTTCCAAATACTCAATTATGCCTTGCAAAAACTATAACCTTTTACTTAGAAAAAACAAAACAATTGAGGAATCCTCAGGCAAACAATTTATTAATAACCTTTAAAAAACCCTATAAAAATGCCTCATCCCAATCTATTTCTCGGTGGGTGAAGTGTATACTTAAACTTTGTCGTATAGATACAGCTATTTTTACTGCTCACACTACCAGACATGCTGCTACATCCGCTGCTGCATTTAGGGGTATCAGCATCGACACAATTAGATGTTCAGCTGGCTGGTCTGAAAAATCTCAGGTTTTTGGGAGATTTTATAATAGACCTATTATTATTAATAATTTTGCATAAAGTATTTTAGAAAATAGATAAATATATAGGACTTTAGAGAATTATGTTTATAAGAATATGTATTAATGTAAGAAAGATTTCCTTTTGATTATATTTATTTTGGTTAAAAATTGTTGTATGGACTTTAAACATGTACATATCTGTATTTACGAGTCGAGACATGAGATATAATATTGAGAGATCAAACGAATTTACGTAAGTGATGTTCGATCCTAATTATATCCATGTCTGGAAGAAGTAAATACCTCCCGACCCATCCCAAACGAAAATATGTATATATTTGTTAATCCCGTATTTACACAACAATTTTTAAGGGCTTTAAAAGGAATGATTTGTACAGCCAGGGCATAGGCGGGTGCCGGGGACGTTGTTGATTTTTGCCTTTGCAGTGTGTGGCCTGCGCTCTCGCTGGGATACTACATATCTGTATTTACTTCGTCGAGACATGGATATAATTAGGATCGAACATCACTTAGGTAAGTTCGTTTGATCTCTCAATTATGTGTGAATATGTCTAATAGGTGCGTAAAATTATCAATGTTTGGAGTGTATAAATGTACCAGCATTAAAAAATTAGTAGGAGTGGCGAATTAAAAACAAAAATCCAAGCTCCAGGCTTTGTTTTCTGGGCGGTTTCCGACCTTCTGACCAATTTTAGAACTACTACTAGAAAAAAACAAAGATTATGATTCTAATAGAATATTAAATGGGTAGTATAAAAATTTTAGGATAAATAAACACTTGTAATGATTTCAATTCTCGTCTTATTTGTCTAATTTACCATACCATAGGGTGTTTCACAACTTATCCGACAAATTTTAGCCACATATGCACTGTTACGAAAAAGCTGCTTTCTTAAAAAAATTTAATAATAAAAGGCCTACAGAAATTAAAGTTATAAACCAGAGTTTCAAAAATAAATTGAAAAATAAATATCTGTATTTTGCGTTAATCGTCGTGATATTAGAACACGCATTAATAATTTATTGTAGCAAATGTTGTACCAAACAACTGACGAAAACAAAATACCAGGACTTTTTTGTGTTTTTTATACTGATAAGAACTGATCTAATTCACTCTAAATGAAAATTCGAAACTCTTAGAAAATCTTTGTTGGAAATAACTTGATACTTTCGAACCAACCAACTCTAGTGGCTGACTCACCTTTCTCTCATAGAAGTATCAAGACACGTAGCGCGTCTGTTCTCGAGAGATGCTTATCAGTAATTTTAGACAATGAGTTTCTGGCAGTCCGGATCAGTTTTTCATCGTGGTCGAGACTAGTTCAATAGGTAGCTAGATAGCATCATTTTTTTTATACCGAAGCAGCCGCGCAGCCGGAAGCTTAAATGCCGGGACACCGCGGCTGCTATGATGATCCCAAATAAATTTTGGTAATCCGATTTTTGAACTGCCTTATAAGCTTCCTCTTGTATATTGTTCCGCAATCTCGACACCCGCGGGACAAAGGAGCGGTCGAATCGGCCAGTTCTGGATGTGCGAAGTTCGACACGGTTAGGATGGCAGGCCAAAGTCAAGCGGGTCTGCCTGGCAGGCACATCACGCGGCGGCATCATGGAAGAGAGCTCTGAGGAGCAAAGCCCGTTGGTGTAGTGGTAGAAGAGAGCTAGATCGCCGACGGCCCGTCGTTGCGAAAGGGTCCCGAGACTGTTTGTTAGAGAAGAGTCGGACATCCCTCCTCTGGACAACATCGGGCATGAATAATGTAGTCGGGCGGCAGCACCCCAAACGTTTGAGCAATACTCGAGGCTAGGCCTTATCTGGGCCTTGTATAGAGGATGTGAATTGGAGAAAAATACTCCTTAGACCTAAACAAAAGCCTAGCTTTTTCCCAGCAGCTCACGTTATTGACAAGATGTGTTCCTGCCAACTTCAACTCGTCGGAGACCTGGGCTCCGATTAGCCGGAATGTACAGCCCTTTGGCAAAAGGGAAATCCATCGAAACCAGATGTTCGTCAAGGTACAGTACCGTGTTTTGGAAGCATTAAAGCAGTGATATCCTCCAGGACTGTCGTCAGAGAGGAAGTCATCGCTAGTCTTCTTTTTTCCAACTCAGCGGCGGAGATAGGCTTGTCACTCTGAATTCCTGCATGTAGAGTGCTGTCATCAGCGAAGCTGTGGATTGGGTTGATCGTGCAGGAAAGGAGATCGTTGATATGTAAGAGGAACAAGACCGATCCCTGGGGAACACCCGCGTTGATGTTGTGAGATGGAGAGAAGAACCCGTCAATTACGACGGATATCTTGCGGCCAGAGTTGAAGTTAGCCACCCATCTGCATAGCTTTTCTGGGAGGCCAAAGGATGGAAGTTTGCTTAAGAGGTCAGCGTGCCACAGCTGATCGAACGCTTTCGTGATGTCAAGAGCAACGACATGAGCCACACCATAAGACTGGATAAGTGTATTCCACAATACTGCCTGTCACTGATTAGGCCGTGACGCTCCAGGTAGTCCAGAAGCTCACGATTTATGCACCTCTCCATCACTTTACTTATAACAGAAAGCAGAACTATAGGCCTGTAGGGGAAAGGGTCGGTGTTAGATCCCTTTTTTTTGGATGGGTTGGATATGAGCAAGCTTCCAGTTTTCTGGGAAGGTGCCGGATTCATAAGATATCCTCAAGAGACGCGAAAGAACTGGAGCAAGCTCCGCTGCACATCTCTTCAGTACAATGGTAGGAATCAAGTCCGTACCAGAAGCTTTGTTGATCTCGAGCGACAAGAGCACTCATCTTATACTCGGTCTTATGCCTGAATGTTACCTCCCGCATAGTGTAGGGAACCCTTTGAATTGACGGCACGTAAGCGTTGGGGAGGACATCAACGGTGGAGTTGGCAGCAAAGATCTTGGCAAGCACTTGGCTTTTGAGTCGGATACAATTGTTCCATCCTGACACGTAAGTAGTGGAAAGCTACTGTGTGAGAAGTTCTTTTCAATCTGCTTGGCCAGCGTCCAGAAAGACCGACTGCCATTGCGCTGCGACATTACCCTGCGTCTAACTTTTATATGGTACTGTTTTTTGGCATTGCGAACCGCTTCCTTATATTTGTTTCTGGACTCGACGTCGGCTTGTCTTGTTATCTACAGTGGGGTTTTCCAAGAAGGTTATGTATGCCTTGATCTGCTGACGAGCAGTGTCACACGATTTGTTAAACCGGCCGTTTGACCCTGGTTTAGGCACTTTTACTGTATGAGGGATGTACTCCTCCATTCCGACGTGGATAATTTCTGTTAACGAAGAACAGGCAGCCGACACATCCGCGTCAGTGAAACAGACATATCTCCAAGGAAAAAAAGAGAAGAAGTCTCTGAGCCCCTCCCAGTCGGCATGTCCGTAATGCCAAATTTTGCGGCCTGTGCGAGTTTCTGCTGCCGCGGTTTCTGACCAAAACCTAACCTCCACAACACCGTGGTCTAAGTTACCCAGTGGGGCTCGACAGCAGTGCTGTAAGGGACAGAATGCGTGGTCACAAAGAGATCCAGCAGGCTACTGGCATGTGACGCGGGGGAAAAAAGTAGGGCTCGTCAGCCCTTGAGTATGAGCGGATTCTTCAACTGCACGACCTGCTTTGTATTGAAATCACCGAGGAGAACTATCTCCGAAGCGGGGTGATTAATGTTCAGCAAGTCGAGGTATTTAAGTAGGTCAACGCAGTTATGGTCCAAGGGAGAGCGAGCAAGGCGAAGCCACATAATGTCCTTCCGGTATTGATTCCAAAGAAACGTCTCTGGAGCAGAAAATACCACTGCGGAAAGAAGCCACAATTTCCTCGTTTTTCTCAGATTGGAGTGCACTTCCTAACTTGGGAAGCTAAGATGGTTAATCGGTGCTGACTCCGAAATTTTTCTGTCCGCCAAGAAAAGCATGGTGGGACGATTGGATTGGAAGTAGTGATGAACAGCATCAATGTTGGTGTTAAACCTGCAGATGTTCGTGGAACAAATTTTATTATCGATTTTGTTCCCTCGAGTCCACCCTCCACCCGGACATTCCGAGACTGGAGTGAGTTTTCGTCGGGAATTCTTAGTAGACCAGCCATCCATGATCATTAATTTCTTTGTGGGAAAGATAACCGACCGCGTAGCTTATGTGTCGAAAAATGCGAACATTTATAAGATGTCTTGGGAAAAGCTAGCGGATGGTATCGCCTCGGTCGACTGGTCCTTGTCTATAACCTTCTCTTTGCATGATAATGATATTAAATAGACATAAAGTGGCCTGTTGGCGGACTTATACCGCCACCCGGCAATCGTTACTGAGGTATTCCTTAACGCTTGTACAATCACTTGAACGGTAAGAAGTTGTATGCTGGATACAACAACTTCCGGAACAAGCATTTGCCACGGCCCAGCTCAGTAGGGCTGTATCATATTATTTTGTTAAAATGAGCTGCTATCGACTGGCACGCACCTAAACATGCTTAAACTCATTTTGATTGCATACCACAAAATATTAAATTTCTTTTTGGGCTGTATGACACCAGATTCTACATGGATTCACAGTTATAAAAAAAGGTTTTGGAAAATCAGGGAATCTCTGTGAGATTACTTACATTTATCCTTTTGGCGCAAGTAATTTCTTTTTGAAGATCTGAAAGATTTATGATTTGCGGCCCACAACTGCTACTTGATGTGCTAACCAAGTCCACACTTCCATGTGAATTATTTGCTGACGAACCAGCTACGCTTGAAAATGTCGAGGACTGTGAACTGTTCCTCGAACGCGAACTTGACGTAGACATTGATTCACTAAAAAAACATAGGAGGGATTCTGCTTTACGTACAGCAACTAAAGTAATAAATTTCTTCAAAATTATATAATCGGTTAAAGGGACCATGGTCCAATAAAGGGGTTTTTTGGCCCTAAAAATAACTTAAATTTTAAGTTAATTGCAACTGTGAAATGTTTGCATTCAGAACGTGACTATTATTTAGACGCTAAAGATTCGCAATATTCGGATATTTGACTTACTATTTTTATATGAGCGCGTGATTGCAACACTTCCTACTTCAAATCTATAATAAAACACACCCAGACACAAAATATGAATATGTACACTTATAATGAAAATTTAAATTTTGTTTTTATTGTAAGCGTAGTGGCAAAACACATATTTATAGGTCTACAGGGTCCGTCAGAAAGAACGCATGTTTTTTAAATGAGTAGTACAGTCAAAATAAGTATAGGAAAAATATTTTATTACAACAAAATACTCAGAAATACATGCAATTTTTTGAGTAAAACAAAATTTACGTTCTAAAAACTATGTCGGCCATATGGCGCCCTTGAGCCGAAATGCAGGAACCAAGCATCTCCCGAGATGAGCCCATTGCGTCGACCAGCATCCGTGCAGGAATTTGGGTTACTTCTCTTCTTATTTCCTCCTTCAAATCGACGAGGGTCCGAGGCTTGCTTTGGTAAACTTTTGATTTCAGGTAGCCCCATAAAAAAATCACACGTTGACAGGTTCGGGGAGCGGGGGGCCATGGAATATCGCCATGACGTGAAATGCGAAGTTCTAGCTGTGTGGGATGTTGCCCCGTCTTGTTGGAACCACACTTCTGAGACGGACACGTCTACGTCGAAGTTCCGGGAAAAAAGTTGTTCAGCATGTGGATGTAACGCTCTGAATTTAAGTAGTTGTTTCTCCATCATCCTCAAAAAAATAAGGGCCAATAATCATCGTTGGGCCTACTGTACACCAAACTAACTTTCAACTGTTTAATTATGAGCTGTGCAAAATTAACACGTTGTGCATAATCCACTTTCAACAGTTGTTGACAAACTTGGATTTTGTAAGGATGGAACACTAAATCATTCTTCAAGATGCGACGTACAGATGACGCATGGATCCCTAGGGAACTGGCACGCAAATGGATGGATCGATTCGGGCTTTGCAGAGTGTCAACTCTCACTCTGACGAGGTATTCGGGGGTTCTAACAGTACGGTTTTTTCCTTCATCACATTACCTGTTCCGTTGAATGCTGCCACCCATCTCAATATGGTGTTACCATCTGGAACTCTCCCACGATGCGGAACACGAAAGTGAACGCGAAACTCACGTTGCGTTCGAACGACAGACTCGCCATTTTGAAAGTACCGACCTACAGTGAACACACAATGCTCAACGTTCCAAACCATCTTGCCAACTGAAACGGCACTTCTCCCACTATCCAACACGCCCTTCCCCACCGACACGGACGGGACCAGTCCACTCGATGTAGTACCCAGTCGAACAATATGCGTTCTATCTGACAGGGTCCGTATCTGTATTTTGTGCCGCAGTATGTTTTATCGTAGATTTGAAGTGGGTATTGTTGCAGCCATGCACTCTAAAAATTGAGTTTGAAACTTAAGACTTTTAAATAACAATCAAGCACTATAAATTGAAGAAAAATGTTGGCGAAAGTTCAAAATACGTATATGTACTTCAAAATATAAAAATACGATCATTGTAAAGATGTGTTGCGATAAAAATTTGAATTATTTTGAGGGCCACTAAACCTCATGGTTTCACAGAGTTTTTGAATTTTGAAATCGATCTATCATCTTTTGAGTTACATAAGTATATGGCTAATGTGTTTCGAATTTTGTGTACAAACATTTTTAATAATCCGAAACTTTTAACCTCCCTCGGATCCAATAGTCGTGATAATTGACAGTGTTGAAAACTGACAAATTTTCAATTATTATTCATGATTTCTCGAACGATTTGAAATTGAAAAGACCAAAATGGAAAGATGATCACGGATCCATTCTAATATAATACGTGTGGCTACCAACCAATCAGAAAATACCTTCATAGATGTAGGTAAAACCATTCGAATCCTTGATTGGTTAGTAAGACACCGTCACGTGGGTCCAACAGGTACATGATCACATATCCATACACACGACACAACTCAAGTACCACAGGGGTGTGAATGCTCAATGTTGCCTGTCCAGCTGTTGATGGTAATATGGCTTGTTAAATCGCACCATACCTATCAAGGAATCATTTCCTGGATGGAAGCGAGTAGAAACTATTCGAAAGGAAAGTGGTCATGATTATATTATTTTCAAGGAACTGTATTCCTTAACATCAATAGAAAAGTCGCGGAGTTGCTTCCCGGGTATTCTCAGAGGGAAAAGTGCGGAAACTTTGCCATATCAGTATCGGAATTGATCCTATGGTGCATTGCCATTTACACTACCTTTGGTGCTCAAGCTGATAATATTGGTGGTAACATAGGTACTGTATGAAACCCTTGCAGGTCAATCAATTTTTATTCATGTCTACTTACACTCTGAGTTGACGGTATTCAGGACTTGTGAACTTATTTGGTGGCTTCGCCCATTCTACGTCCACCTGTTGACCTCTATAGTAATCTGAAAAAATAAAAACGCTCATAAGTCCTAACGTTAAACTTTGGTGTAAGCAAAGATTAAAAGTGTAATGAAGCAGGTGTATATTGTTTAAACCTACACTAAACAAATCTTATGCTTTTATATACCTTTCAAATAGTGAAGTAAGACTTCTGCTTCTCCTCTAGTTTTAAGGTGTATGAAGGCATAGTTTTTGAACTTGTATAACTTTTCCAATCTATCTCTTTTTATAAACTGTGTTATAATTTTTTCTAGTTGAATTCTGTCTTCCCAAACGGGTAGGTTCCGAAGGTAGATAATTTTCACCTGAAACAATGGCTGAAATGAAGGTTAGAATGACTACATCCATGTTCACTGTATCAAAGAGAAAATAAAGTTAGATAGTGATGCGTCGTGTCGATAGACGATGGAACTAATAAACATTCGCTAATGTTTATTAGCTTCTTAAGGCGGCTCCGACGCAGTGAGTTTCAAGCCATTTACAAGGGTTCGGCTGCTTCGAAATTACATTCCATTTTTCAATGTTTTTGAATCAAATTCATACAGTATGTTGAGATGATTGCCCAGGGTGCTATAGGAGCACTTTTTGAAATTTTTTTTGCACAAGTTTTATAATGGGTTGAAGTGCGCACTTTTTCTGCTCAATTTCGCGATTTTTTTAAAAAGAACCTAGTGAAAAAATGAAAAAGTGGCTCTATAGCACCCTGTGGGGTTTTGTTTTCAGCACACTGTGAAAATTTCATCCCATATCGAAAAATAAAGCGTCAATTTTGAAGCGCGCAAACCTCTACAAATCGTATTTTGGACGAATTTTGTCTACTGTTTCGTGCTGCCAACCCAACGTTGCGGCGGAATGTACGGACTAAGAAAGGACGTATTCAGATAATTATTTGGTGGCCCTATTTCATATAATATCGCGATAAGTCGTTCTGCAAATAGGTGATACTCCTTGATTTTAAAGACGGTTTTACTTCCACGCCAATGGCGAGGAAGTATTGTAATCGCTAAAAATTTCTAAAATGAGATGTAATGTTTTTTTTATGTCATATGACATCTACATCACGAAAAACTGTATCACTCATCATCAACTTGGAAATTACCGCTCGGATTTTTATGAAATTTCCACACGGGATTACTAGTATGCCGACGAATAATGCGCTCACGATTTGAAAAAAATCGGTACCTGCTCTATAGGTTTGACACCAAGAGCCAACAGATCTGCAACTACCGACAGTAGGGAAGAATAAATTCGGATATCATTCCAGTCAAGTATAGGGGAATTTAGCGTGAAACTTTAAAATTATCTATATGTCAAGGTAATATGTTTTTGAGAATGATAATTTGGTAGATTTTCATTTGAATTTCATGACCCGTGAAATGTACCCATTTCGCCGTTACCTTCAATTTGTATTCTGCAGTTTGTGATATTTTTCTGGATATAAGCAGGACATAATTGCCTAGGGTGCTATCAGAGTTTTTTGCAAAATTTTGTCTTTGCGCAAGAATTATGGTGGGTTGGAATGCTTACTATTTGTGCTCAACTTCTTGATGTTTTAAAAAGATCCTAGTGGATAAAATCGAAAAAGTGGATCGCTGGCACCGTGTGGACTTTGTTTTTAGCACGCTGAAGAGAGTTTCATTTGGAAAAAATAAAAATGAAACATAAGCTGTGAAGTGCAAATCGGTTTTTGTTCGAAATTCATCTACTGTTTCGTCCTGCCAGTCCAAGCGACGCGCCCGTCCGTTCCGACTAAGAAAAAAAGTATTCAAATAATTTTATATCTTTCCTAAAATAAATTCAAGAACTCAAATTCAAATTCATTTATTCATGTCAATAAACACAATTATATTTACAAGGGTCATGTGGTAGATGGTAACAATTGAACGAGGGTCATAAAAATATCTTATGCCCTCAAAATAAGAGAAAACAGTTAGGTAGTTTTTGCAAAGCAATAAACAGGTAGGCTTATACCTGGATTAAGTACATGTCTTGTCTACTGTAATAGGTAGATGGAGGTGATGCTGCCAGAAATGGATGTGGACGATCAATAAACAAACCACAAGATTGAACTGGGGTATCCAATGATTTTTGTATTGCCTTTTTTTATTGCCTTACTAGAAAACTCTGTTGGGTAGGTATATGATGAGTTTACAATAACTTTACAACTTGTTGTCTGCCTTCTTCTACAAACTTCACCAAATCGAGGCGCTGTCAACCTTATCCTCCGATGAAGACGCCACAAAGTACAGTCCTGTGATTTGGTGACTTGTTCAATCTGCAAAATCTCGTCGTCACTTTTTCTAAGTTTCCCTAAAAATTCTTGCTTAGCTACCTCCAAATCAATGTCGTTCATGTCAGGTTTTTGACAGAATTCGCCATAAAACTATTCATCTTCTTTGGAATTGCTATCCGAATTGTTAGTTATTTTTAGATCAGCTTTTTTGCTCTGAGTTTCTCTTCAAGATTCTAGCGTTTGAGTCTTTGTTCCATCTTAGTGATAAGCGAGGCTGGACTAAGCTTAGATCGCAAATTTATTTGGACCACATAGACCGGCTGCTCGGTATTGTGGCTCACTACAGCTGCAGCACATCTTCCATGGTATGACCTCTTCTTGCAATAATTTATTCGCTTACCCTAATGTATTTTGCGATTATAGAGTTGAACTGCTCCACACTATTGTTGTCCTCATCATGAATTAAACTCACTGTATTCGTAATTAAAATTGCCACATATGACCTTTTATTGTCCAATTATCAACCTTGATAAAAAAGGCACTCAGGACCAATCACACCAACAAGAGTACAGCACAACAATTCAACAACACAATATCGACGAACAGTAACAAGCGTAGAACAATACTTAAATGATCACTTGCTGAGTACCAAAATAGGAAACAATTTACAGCTAGATCGCTAATCAAAATCCGACTCTGTTATTATAAGAATTTACCTCCGTACGCACCCGCAGTCATCCTTTCGTCTTTTAAGGTCGCCGACGACCGTCTAAGGCCAGACCCCCCCCCCCCCTCGTTACCTCAGCAGATGGTGGCTCGTGATTGTAGGAGCCCCGTTAAGGAATACTGAAGATATGCAAGGTGAGTTTTTAGTGTGGGCTCGGTGATTCAAAACATGTGAAAAAATTTAGGGTGTTTGGTCATTTTGCAGTTGATTTTGCCTTATTGATCACCCTGTATAAAAAACTATCCAAGAAACTACAAAAGTGAGAAGATAGGAACAAATTTTTTTTTATGACAATTTTAATGTAATGAGATTAGCGGGGATGCGTGTTATCAAAGTCGAGTGATAGATTGAACAATATCCCAACAATTTGAAAACAAAACGCCATATATTGCTTTGTTAGAAAATCTGCAATAAAATGAAAATCTTACCATCGAAAAATGTATGTTTGTGTCACTACATAGTTATGAATTGTCATGTAGAAATAAAAATATTCTTGAAGTCAAGAGCATACTGTTGGCTACAATTTTTTACATTCAATTTTTTTTATGCCATGTGTAATAACGGAATAATCGACCGAGCCCACACTAGAAACTCGCCCTGTAGAAACAAATATTGATACAAGCATAACTAGAATCTAGGTACCTGTGACAATGCATCAACTAACATATATAGGAATACTTACATCTCTCATAATTTCCGGATCCACCTCAGGAATGGGCACCGACCAATCAACCACAACATGCTTCCCAAATAATCTCAAATTTTCATGATATTTTGCTCTAAAATGCGCAGCTTCATCATGGGATCGAAATTCCACAAATACAAACCCCCTATTTACTGCTCTATCCGTGTAACTCCTACAACGTATAAATATTAATGCATACACTTTGATTATAAGAGTGGGTAAGCTACACTTTCAACTTTTATCCATTGGACAGCATGCAGCAATATTATACTAAGTGACATATAAATCCGAACACCCAGTTTAATTTTTTTTATTTTAATAAAATTTTGTATAAGTACATAATGAAGCATAATAAGTAAATGATAAAAATTTCAAAATGATTGCACTGCTTTAAAGCCCTTTGACCTTTAATAATGTGTGGATGCACCCTGATGTGCTACGCATTCTCCAACGCGCCTAGGCATGCTTCTGATCAGGTGGTCAATGTCCTCCTGTGGTATCTCATTCCAGGCAACCACCACCTCCTCTCGAAGAGCTTCTAGAGTCTGAGGAGGACATTGCGAATTGAGCAATCTCCTACCCATCATATCCCACACGTGCTCAATTGGGGATAAGTCGGGAGATCTTGGTGGCCATGGTAACAATGTGACATCATTATGTTGAAAGAAGTCTATTGTGACTCTTGCAACATGTGGTCGGGCATTATCTTGTTGGAAAGTTGGATCTGCCAGGGTGTCAAGATAGGGTAAAAGATGGGTTTCTAGAACTTCGTGGATATAACGCTGCGCGTTCATGTTACCTCTGATGAAGATTAAAGGTGACCTGGAACCATAAGCTATAGCACCCCAAACCATAACTCCAACAGTGTGATGAACATGTCTTTCAACAAAAAACTGTGGATTCCTCCTTTCACCACGTCGCCTTCTAACCCTGGCACGACCATCGTGCATGCCTAAACAAAATCGAGACTCGTCACTAAATCCATTCCTGATCCCAGAGTGACCGTTGTCTGCACCACTCAAGGCGATTACGTCGGTGTTCTCGAGTTAAAGGGAGGACCCAGTGTGGCCGGTATGAAAACAAGCCAAAACTTCTCATTCGTCGGTAAATACTTCGCATGCCAATAGGTCTTCCATGTTCTGCAAACCATTCATTTGCAATGGACCCTGGTAGTGGAGAAACGGTCCCTTAAGGCCAATAATCTTAGGCGGCGATCGTCACGGTCTGTTGTTCTACGGCGGCGTCCAGTGTCCCTTGCTCTTTGAGTACGGCCTTCTCGAAGCCATGCCTGACAACACCTAACCACAGTGTACACTTCTTTGCACTCTAACTGCAATTGCCCGAAAAGAAAGTCCAGCTTCCCGAAGTCCCACTATACGGCCCCTATCAAACTCACTAAGTTGACGAAATCGTACAGGTCTCCGTACTCTAGACATCGTAAGCGATCGTAAAGGATGTCAAGAACCAAAATCCGCCAACGTTGATTCTTTACTGCGGCTGAAATATTCATTTTTAGAACGTTAGTGAATTAAAAAAAAAGCAGTATAAAAACCGGAATGTCCAACTGATAAGGCTGAAAATTTTTTCACTTGTTATTTACAATAAGATTAATACATTCACCAACTTTTATTAAAATAAAACAATTTAAACTGGGTGTTCGGATTTATATGTCACTTAGTATAGTTCAAGACCTCATATACCACAAAATGTTTCCCATGTCCCACTTTAACAAAGAGCAAAGGTCCTATGAAAATAGAACAGTGCGCGTTATTCAATTTTTAGATTCGACTTGCTATGATATTCAATGGCATGTTTTGTTATTTTTTACGCAAAATTTGATTCAGATATAGGACAAGATACATGAAATGTATTTAGAACCTCGCGTATAATCCAAAAATTGGCATGTATTTCCTGTACCAGCGGAAATGCCACCATTTTGGAAACATTTTAGCCGCATTGACCCCCCCAAAACCAGTTATACTACAAACCCAAATTTTCATAGCTGTCTTATGTCAACTTGTTGAGTGATATTCTCAATTTGAACTGCAGTTCTGCGTGGCAGACCCTGTATATACATACAAAGTTCACTTGTGGTAAAAATCTAAACATCAGAAACCAAAACGAACCACCAGAATTGTTACTATTGCAGTTTATTTATTGAATTTAATCATGAAAATTTCTGTATGTTAACAAAAAAAAGTACTAGGAGAAGAATGTTTGATTAATGAACTATGGTTAGACCTGCTGTCGTTAACATGTGGTTGCTATTTCGTGGTCTTGGAATACGCGGCTCGTTATGTGATCTTTGCGAAAGCATTTAATTTGTAACAGTTTATGACGATGTCTTACCTATACATGATGACGTCAATAATATCCCGTATACCGCACCTTTTGAGTTCCATCCAAACCTCGTCTCTAGTTTTTTTCGTTGGAACCCCTCCAACAAAAATCCTACAGTTATTGACAGAAATTTCGATTGACAGTTTTCGAAACTGGAACTCTTTCTCGTTCAACAGGTTCACCGCCCTTTTGGCTGTAGCCGCATCTTTGTACGTTACATAGAGAAAATTCCGTTTCGATTCATCTGAAAGAATACCAAAAACATATAAAAGTGCTTTTCAAATAGGTCGCCCGGTCGCCTGCTCAGCGATAGAATCAGTTACCCCCACTATGCACTTTGCTCTCGGCGATTAAGCAACTCAATGTACAAAAATCACTCAACTTTGACATCCTGCTGATTCGCCATTTTGAAAGTAATCTTCAAGGAGAAAATTGTGCTTATCATTGATTATGCCTATGTTCAACTATATACTGTGATATTTTATATTACCCGTGCAAAATAATTGTTTTAGGTTCATCTGCGGGTTAACTTGCTTCGACCAATTTTCTGGTAGTCTTATAAAATTAAACTGAATAAAAACAAAAAATAATGTCAAACATCATTATCTTGTAATCTTGTATTTGTATTTATTCCTATACCAATACTCATGTCCAAGCCTATATACTTAAGAGAAAACATGGTCTTTAGGTGTAATGTACATGATAGACATTTTAGATTCTAAATATAAGTACACACCTATTCACTCTACAGCTTTATTCCAGCGTTCTTTCACGTACAGTGCTGCAGTTTTATAGAATGCTTTGAGTAAAGAATTTTAAAATGTGCCCCTAAATTACTTCAAGAAAGCTGTTAAATCTCAAATCATTGTAAAATTTTCAGGGTCCTAGGTCGAACGATTCGGTTTGGAGACGCCTGACGTAAAAGTGTCCAAGGAAGTCAAAAATGACCTCCAAATGTGATAATTCGTTCGGCAGATAGTCAAGACACAGTAATTTTTTCGAAATTTTCACTGGTTAATTGGGCTGGCAATTCTAATGCCTCGCGATAGGAGATGGAGCACCTTGAATAAAATTTTGTACTCGGGCCTTCAAATTGTTCGGATAGGTCTTTGGATCCAATTTTCGAAAACTTCAATCAAAATTGGCAATTTTCATGAAACTGGAGGGCGAGTCATGACTCATATCGGGCTCAGTTTTGCTTTCTGAAGAGAACCTATGGAGGCAAGACCCTTTGTAAAATCTCAACTTCCTAGGTCGAACCGTTCGTTCAGGAAGATAAATTTGAAACTAGATATAAGACATGACCCGCCCTCCAGCATCATGAAAAATTCCAATTTTTGGTCCAAAATATCGAAGATTGGATCCAAAGGCTTATCTATCTAATTTAAAGGCCTGATTACAAAATTCAGTTTATATACGTATAGGCACTTAGGCTGGTCCATCTACTTTACGAATAAAATTAATTTTGTGCATTTTTATTTTCGGAAGGCATCAACCCAATCATCCAGTGAAAATTTGTCAAAAGTTATTTCTGCTGAATGAATTATCATATCCTTCATATCATTCCTTGAATAATTTACTTTGCCAAAACGTTAACATTCACATTTTTGAGCGCGTTTCCAGAGACCGAACCGTTTGACCTAAGATCCTGAAATTTCACAAAGCCTCATGCCCCTTGCCCCTATAGGTAGTACCCATGAAAAAAGTGTGAGCCTGAACTGAGATATCACCCGCCAAGTCAGGTAGAGGAATTTAAGTTTTTACCCATATAGTTAAACATTTCAGTACTCATCTTAAACTGTATAACTTTGTTATTATGCAAAATTTCATCGACTACCACTAAATGCTTGGAGTTTTTTTTACTAATAATACCACATTATTTTGAAAAGCAAGCCTTCATTGAAATTACTTACCATACACTAAAAATCGTCGTTTTCCATGAATTACGAGGAATACGTATGCTTATATAAGGGTAGCTCAAATTCGTGAAAAGCAAACCTTCCGTTGGAATTTTTTAAGAAAAAGTACATTTGTAACCATCTGTACGAACGATGCATAGTATTTAAAGAAAACACGTTTAAATGAAGGGAAACTATGGGATATGATGGTCAATCTGATGGAAGATGGGGAAAAAATAACTGATTTCAAGCTGTCAAAGTTGAGTATTTTTAACGATTAGATATCCCGTAGCTCCAGAGTTAGTGATCTGAATCATATATTATAATATGCTATAGCTGCAGTCACCGTTCTTGGCGATTACGCCATCAACGCCATATGGAATAAGTAAACAGATCCATGGGCAGAACACTGTGCAGACTAATCTTCAGCGGATCTGCTACTCTCTTCAGCACGCATAGAGTCTGCAACAGGTTTTCATCCTCTTCCTGGAAATACTCTAATAAATTTAGGACGAGCTGTCGGCCTTGTCCATTGATAGTATTTCCGAGCATTGTACAATTTTATGTTTGCATGTGTATGTAGAGGTATATAAAGAGATACTGGTAGTCTTACTTTGACCCGCCAAGAACGGTGACTACAACTATTTACTAATCAATATACAGGGTGTTCCATTGAAAAAAAGTACGTTTGTGTTGTGAATAATGCAGCGGCATATTTTCCAAATAACGAGAGTATAGCAGTTGCCTATAATTTTTGTAAATAACTCTAAGATACCTTTTATAATAATTTAACACTGTTTTTGTCTTGGATCAAAATGAGGGTGATAGGAGGAATCATTTCCAATCAGAAAAACTATACAGGGGGTTTCAAATTCGACACTCACCATTGCGATGTCGAAAACTGTAAGTCACTTAAATGGGGGCAAAATTGCGTATTTAGGTAATCAACAAAATGCTACTTAGAGAGTTTCGAGATTCAAAGTACTTCCAGAGAGACACGGAAAAACAGATTGTTTCCAAAATCGTTTTCATCCTTTTCCGACTTTAATTGGGATTTCAAGATAAATTACACATCAACATTGTCATTTTTTCTCCTCTACAAGATAATAGAAGTCCAATATGACGATTCGCCTCTTGTCTTCCAGCATCATCTTTATTTTCTCTTATGGACACAATATTGGATTTTTGCGCAGATCAATAGTTTTTAATTCTGATATCAAAAATGTAACAGAAAAACAATTTCCTGGGTAGGCCTTGAAATTATCAGATTTTATTTGTTTCATATTATCAGACCAGACCTCAAATTGAACATAGCAACATAGTTTGGAAGACTAAGAAGAAGAGAAATAAATCGATCAGTGAAAAATGTACAGAGAAGAGTCAGGCTTTGTCTACAAAATAACGGACATTTTGAACATCTGCTATAATTTACCTCTTCTTATTTATGATTATCATTGTTATCATCATGAATAAAATGTTCATGTTGTGTTCAGACTTCACCGTACCTTTTTATATGTTCATAATTTTCGTCCAACCAAAAATTCACGGCCAACTAAGGAAATATATCAATCACTAAATGGCTGAAAAGTCAATTTAAATGTACAAACAATATAGCGTACATATGAGAAAACAAAGTTGGTAATGAAACTCTAAAGGAAAAATGTCGAATTGAAAATTTGGCTACGCTATCTTGTAGTAACAATGACAACATGCAATAGATTTTGAAATCCCATTTAAAATAAAGTCACGAAAAAATAAAAGTGATTTTCTGATAAATCTGGTATGCAAAACAAGTGACAATCTGATAAACATAGCCCACTTAAGAAATTCTGTTTCTTTTTGAAATAGCTAAGGTTTGGCAATGTCAATGTGTGATGTATTATTCATTTTTGGAATTAGAATTAAAAACTCTATTAATCGGTGCAAAAATCAAATATGGCGTCCATGTGAAAAAATAAGGTTGATGCTTGATGACAAGAGACGAAAAGTCATATTGAAATTATGCCATCTTGTAGAGAGGAAAAAAAAGTAGCAATATTAATGTGCAAGTTATTTTGGAATATCCTACAAATAAAGTCAAGAAAAACTAAAAACGATTTTGCGAATTCGCAACTTTGTCCCATTTAAGCGACTTTGTATCTATTAAAATTTCCAAGATTCCAATGATGAAGCTCGAATTTGAAGCACCCTGTATATGCCCTTATCAGATTGTATATGGTTTTTTAAGAATTTGTAGAAAATCGCTTCTTTTGACTTTTGTTATTTCTTGATCAGCCTCACAGGATATGTTCCGAAATGATGTATCCGTGACGAAAAGCTAACAGTGAGAAATTAGTCCAGTTGGTACCATGTCGGTATATCAATCCGCTCAACCGCAATTTTGTCTGTTCAAAAATATTACAGCATATTCAACATGACCAGTACAAAAAGTAGTGGGCATATAAAGTGTTCATAGTTATGAAAAACTTCTGGATATTATGACCTTTCTAAATACCACTTTCCGAATGATCTACGACTTTTTAGACGCCCTGTATATCAGAAGCAGTTTGAAATATTGGTGGCATGTAGCGAATTATAAAAATGTTCCCTTGTTCTGAGAGTGAATTTTTAATTCTTTATCGTGGCCAAAGTACCCTCAATATACCTACATGTCACATTCCAAAAAAAAATGCAATGCAATTGAAATTTATTTTTCCAGTACCTAGTACAAAATAGCTATTCTGGTATTTTTCCAATATAACAAGTCGCAGGTATATATACATGCAACTTGTTCGAATGGAGACGCAGGCAACTGTTGTCCTGCATTTGCTCGAACAAAAGCTCCGGGTACGTGGAAACTGAAATGTCCGCGGCGCAAGTTGTAGCACATATTGAAAACGGTATTAGCGTGTTAAAAACAGCATGCATTCGATTACTCAATTTTTGTCATTTGTGTAGTGAGTGACATAAACTTCAAAGCCAAGTAGAATCGTCAGCTCTGACAATACCGGGTGATTCTTCAAGGTGGCTCACCCCTAAAACTTTTTTATTATTGAACGAAATTTAGGGGTTGCGTATTATAGATGAATTTACATTTTTTTATATATTCACTTGCTTTGAGTACTTCCGGTTTGACCGGAAACGACTGCAACGTTCGATTTTTAAATGGGACCCCCTATATATTTTTACTGATTTCGATCGAGAATGACATTCTGAACTCAACAATGCCTCACTTGTCAATATTTGACAAATAAAGTCATTTTTATTTCAATTTTTATTTTTTTAACTAGAATGCCATGGATCCTG